ACAACTCAAAGTTGCCACCTGGATGCGAAATGGGAACGTCGCTTTCGGTAGGTATACCACTTCTTATGCGGATTGGGAACAAGACGACTGACATCGTTCCAAGGAAACGAGAAGGGGGATGTTATCATTTTTGAGCCGTCAACTTCGGAGCACATCTCCTGTCGCACCATCTTCGACCCCATAACTGCTCTTGCACCGGCCACAGACTGTCGAACATACGCGATAGGGTAACCTTCAAACCGAGTATCTGCTTATATTCAGGGCTGACAGACCTTCTTCTAGTTACCAGAATGGCTCTATAATGATCGCTACGCTCCACCCGACGTTCACGATTTTACATACTATGGCCACCTCTCGAGGACCCTCATCCATACTCTCCTTGGCCTGGCATGCCTCCTCCTCCAAGCAGAAATCTGATATGCTAGCGACACTATCGGCAAATGGTGATTTGAGAGTGTGGAGCGTTGCGAAGCCACCAGGAAAAGAACCTCCTCGAGTCATCAGGGTGTTGAAGCGGTCGGATGGCTCGCCACCATCAGAGCCAAAATGGATGGCTTGGTCAAAGAATGGAAGAATTGTACAATATCTTGATGGGTAGGTGTACCCCATCCGGCCTGCATTTGGCAAACATTCGGTAGCTAATGGCCCGAATTGCAGAGAGACATGGGCCTGGGATGTCAGGACGAAACATGTCACATACGAGCCAGTCCCTACGATCGACAACCCTCGCGGGTTTGCGAACTATGGGCCAACAGCAACGCTTTTTACGCTAGGGCCGCAGTTTACTGTTCAGCAGTACGATGTCGAAGCACCAGCGATGGTGGCCAACGTACAACATCTCCCGGCCAGTGTCATGTCCTTACCACAAGAGCAAGCGAAGCTACGGACTCTCGAGGACCCACCTACGATAAAAGAGTCTGCAAACGCATTTAATTCGAGAAGGACTCCATTCGACATGAACGAGATTGAGGTTGTTCGGCAACAACGTGCGGAATTGAGCAGTCCAGTCTCTTCTCGAAGCCATGCGAATTCGGTCAGTTCCAAGGCATCGTCGGGGAAATATAGAATGGGCGCATTCTCGCCACAGAGCAGGTCAGGAGTAACTGGGACATCATTTTCATTGACATCTGCATCCGGCCGAGATACTCCCCAGGCGTCGGGAGCTTCATATGCCTACGCCTCATCTGTTTCGATGTCTTCAGTTAAAAGTTCTCGTGCTGGGGGCTCGCGTCTTAGAAATGAGGTCCAACTCAGCCCTGCAGATAGACCCAGCGATCTGTTCCCCTTTACGCGCGCACGTCTGAATGATGTGCCCTACGGACATCATCAACCACTTGATGAATCTCGCCTAACGCCAGATGATTTACGGCAGCAGATGCTGAGCGTTGTTTTCGGCTTTGACGGTGATATTGAAGGATTGATTCGAGACGAACGTAAGTTCAGGAGTTTTTTGAGTATCACCGTGAGATAGCTGACACTTCCAATAGTTAGCCATCATCCTCCAGCGAGCCACAATGCCGTTCTGTTAGCTCAATGGCTCGGGGAGTCCGACACTGACCACATGGTTTCGATGATCAATTCAGGGCCTGCGACAGTTACTGACTGGATGCTACTCGCTTTCAGCCAGATGTCTGGAGAGTCCCAATCAAACAAATTCGGGCAAGCCTTCGTTCAGAAGCTGCTGGAGATTGGCGATATTCACACGGCGGCCACCATATTACTAGGACTGGGAGATAGGAACGACGCGATCGAGGTCTACGTGTCTCAAAATTACTATCTGGAAGCAATACTGATGACATGTCTGGCTATGCCCACAGACTGGCAACGCCAGTCATATCTTGTCCGTCGATGGGGGGAACACGTGGTATCTCATTCGCAACAGCAGCTGGCAATTCGGTGTTTTATGTGTACTGGTGTTGAACCATCGGAGCCATGGACTTCTCCTGCGGCTCAGCAGGCGGCATCGTTCAGCGAGGTGATAACCCAGAGACCTCAGATGAAGTCACCCGAGCCACCATATGCGAACAACCCATCCAATCTGATGGTCCCAGGCTCGCAAGCGAGACCTGCAGCTACCAATACCAGACAAGCTCTGAAAGCCCCAGCTCTCAAGCTGATCACATCATTTGACTCACAACCGAACCACAAATACAACTTCCCCGGGTTGAAGTCAGATGATCGAACACCAACAAATGCTCCCGGGGTCACGCCTATAGCCGAATCGGCCGTGGTGGAATCGGCTCTATCGCCCGGTGGCTTTGGCTCTTACAAGCTCAACAATATCCAGAGCTTGAACAATGCAATGAACGGGCGGACAAACACACCCGCGTTTAACAGGCGCCGCCTTCCATCCATAGGGGAAACGCCGATTGACGTTCATCCACCGACATTCACCTCAGCCGTGTATAACAATAAGCTTGCTATGGACTATGGCTCGGCTTCTGAGAACGAGGAGATTCAAGCACGGGAACAACAAGACGACGAAGACGGCGACGGTCTCGGCTTACTGTCGTCTGCCCGATACGATCCGGAAGAATACAAACCCAGTCCTCAAACTGCTGTTCAGGCAGCGACCGACCAATTTGCGGGGATTAAAGGACTTCCTTCTCCAGCTGCCGGTGTCTTCGAGGCGTTGAAGGAGCGCTCTGATAGTAGGGCAAGTACCCGGGAACGGAAGCCAGAGGGCTTGCAGCTTCATCTAGGCGGCTCTTCTCAGGCCGACGTACAAGAGCAACCGAGTCTGCTGGTGAATTTCAGAAGTCCAGCATCGACATTGAACAGCTTTAGCTCCGCCAGAAGCCCAAGTGTGAGCAGTCGGAGTATTGATCAGTATATCAGTAGTTTGGGTGAAGCGAGCTATCATTCGCATAAGTATCAGACTCCAACTGTGAATGCTCCTGGACGCGGGCGAAGAAATACGGACGATGCGGCCAGTCAAGCCTCGAGTCGGAGGTACCAGTCCAGAACCGAATCTCAAGAGACTCGTGGACGACACGAAAAAAGGTACATACAACCTGCCAAGCGTTCGCCATCTTCTCCAGTTCCAATGTCACCTGAAGAGCTGGCACGGATCAATGCGAACGCCGCGAACAAGCCATCGTCTCGAACGCGCAGTGCTAGCAGAGTACGGAAGCCACGCTCTCGTAATTCTTCTGAACGCCGCCAAAATCGTTCAGCAAGTCGCAACACCGCCAGCCGTATAAACACGGAACATTCGCAACGTGGACGCAGTATGGATCGCCAAGGGTCAAGCATGAGATCTCCTTCATCACCGCTTCCACTACCCACAATGACCCCAGATGACGCTATGAGACTCGTGACGAGTGATAGGGAGCGTTTGCGGACTCGCCAGCGAAGTGGCAGCCGGCGTCCGGACAAGAATACGAGCATAAAAGGAGACGAAGCAAGACGTCCTAGAGCAGACTCTCGCAGCCATCCTGAGATGGAGGTCACCCTTAATACGGATCAAGACCCTGTTGTGATGTTACAGGACGGGAAGTTTGACGGCATGTACGCGGATGATAGCAGTCAACAGATCAAGAAATTTGTGGCCGAGTTAGCACGCGAGCCGCCTCCGATGGCTAACAAACAAGCCGCTCTCGTCGAGCAGAGGAGGAAGCAACTTGCAGCTGCTGAACTTGAGGCACGTCGGCTGTCACTGGCGCGCAATCCATCTGCGCCGAACATTCCATTTCCCGGAGAATTACAATCCGCCCGCACTGCTCCGGACAGCCCACCATTCTCGGTGTCATCCTCATTTACACCTCACACTCCAGGTCGACACAGAACTACTGCTAGTAAAGGCTCGCCGGAGGGTCCAAGCAGCTCCGAGTCGACCTCATCTAAGTCGAACGTGCCCTATGGCTTGCCAGCGACTCCTCGAGCTATGCGACACCCTAAGTACAATGGTTACGAGGAGACTGTAGCAGTCCCTCCTATACCCGATAGTACTATACTTCTGAGCGACGCAAGATATCAAGGAGATGCTGAGAGGATTGGCCGTTCGATGTCCGTCCCGGTCCCTGAAAGTCAGCCGTCTGGCCTAGTGCCCACTGACTTACCAATGCATCCACGATTCAACCCACGGCTACCTAGAAGCCGCTCGACAAGTCGGTCACGGGCTAAGGGCCATCAGCGAGAGAATAGCGGAAATAGCTATGGCGGTTCGCCTGTCACAGTGAGCATCGAAGAGACCATCGAGAATGGACTTTTGATGCAGCAGGCCGAAAACCCTCCCATTTTACCGCAGCTTCAACATTTGAATCCGCCGCCTCCTCCACCTCCTCCGATTCCTCCCTTGGCCTCTCCACGCCAGTCTTCGGGCACCATCGATATTGCGTTCGATAACGAGGACTTTGGACGGCTTCTCCCTCGCGCGATGACCGCCGCCCCGGCACTGAGCACTGACGTCCGTCCCGGCGGCTTGGAACGCCGCCGCATGTCCTTTGAGCATCGACGAGGCCGCAGCGTGAATGAAAGCCTAAGCACGAAGATCCGCAACTTGACGCGGGTGGGTCATAACAAGGGCAGCGAGCCCTGGGTGTCTGCGGAGATCCACATGCCTTATGAAAGCGTGCAGGTGATGGATGGTCGGCTGTAGAACAACCTACACCACCACCGGGCCCATGCTATGGCCCTTATGACTAACGAATTGATTGTTCATCTTTTGGTTTGCTTCTAATTCTGTGATTTTCATCTTAATATACACCACAATCTTCCGCCATCCCATTCCTGGGAATGGATAATTTCTGATGTATCGTTGCCTTTGATAACCAAGATGAATGTGCTATGTTTGATCGTCACCGAAGCGATGTAACCTAATTTACTCGATTTTATCGCTCTTATCTTTTTTTTACTTTCCTCTACGTTTCTTGACCGTTGTCCCGTATCTCCGAAAAGTCCTTTCCAGAAATGCAAGTGAAGCGAATCTCTCTGTGTGGCTTACATTGCTGTGTGATTGTAGTCGCTTCCTTCTTGAAGAGGATGTAATTGGAGAGAGTGTGGGACATCTTGAGAAGAGATGCAATGATCCGGTCGTATACATACAGAAGAAAACTTAGTGACACATGTACCTGGGACGGTAGCCAGAACTCGTAAGAATAAAAAGCGCTTGAAGACAATCATGATCTCGGAGCACAGGCCTCTCGCACTACCATCTGCTCCATCCGCCACTTCTCCTCCCCGAATCCGACCCCGCGTGCCGTTCAGCCTCGAGCATGCGGTCGAAGTCCGCCTGGGCCCTCTCGCGCTCACTGTGGCTCTCGCTCTCGCTCTCATGCTCGGCCCGCGACCAGTCCGCCTGCTGCGGCCTGGACTGCGGTCGCACGGCGTTCATCCGCAGCCGGTCCCACGCACTTCCGCCCGTGGGTCTGCGATGCTCCGCCGCGACAGGACTGGCATCGTCGTCGTCGTCGAAGAAGTCGCCACCCCCGGAGGAGGAGGGCGTCTGCTGGTGCTGGTGCTGCCGCCTCGAAGTCCAACTCGTAGAGCGAGGCGTACCCTCACTATACGAGTTCGTCGTCGAACCGTGCTCATCACCACCACCACCACCACCGCTACTAAACCCATAATCATCCATCCCGTGGGCCACGGGCGACCCATCATCACCAGCACCATAACCCGCAGCACCTCCCGGCTCGCCCCCCTGGCCGACAGCAACCGTAGCAAAAGCGGCAGCGGCCTCGCGGCGCCTGCGGGCCTGGTCGGACACATCGGCAGCGGGCCCAGCGGGGCGCGAGCGCTCCATATCGCGGCGGACGGCCTCGAAGCGGGGATCATCGCGCCACATAGCGACCTCGCCGAGGGTGGCCCAGGAGGAAGCGCAGAAATCGGCGACGAGGGTCCAGACGGCGACCTTGAAGAGGCGGGCGGCGGCCATGGGGCGGCCGCCGCCCATGACGCCGGCGTCGCCCATCAGCTGCCAGCCGCGCCGGAACCCGGCCCAGGTCAGGACGCGCTTCCCGGCGGGGGTGGTCGTGGCCTGCGGGGCGAAGTAGGCGTCCCAGTCGGCCGAGTAGCGCAGGGCGTAGGCCTGGTGCGCCAGCCCGGCGAGCGCGCCCACGGGCACCCCCAGGCTGCTGCGCCGCGCGCTCTGCGCCATCATCTCCAGCAGCGCGTCCAGCTCCGGCTGCGTCGGCGCCCGCCCCGTGTGCCGCCGGATGTTCTCGAGACGCCGGTAGGTCGCCATCTCCGTCTTCGCGACGTAGTTGGCCCGCCCCCACAGGCCCAGGTACAGCGTGAACGGGTTCGGGTTGCGGATGAGGCTCTCGTCCACCCGCAGGGGCTTGAAGAAGTGCTCCAGGTATTGTTTCGGGGTCGTGCCGCCCGGCAGGCGCAGCAGGCGCGGTGGGCTGAGCCGGTTGGGCGGGAATTGTTGGGGTTGCTGCTGCTGCTGGTGGTCGGTCCCCTCCGGTGGGAGCGGGGGGTTGTGGTCGCTCATCTTTTGGGGTTGTTTTTGGTTCTGGAAGGGTTGGTTGGATTTCGTGGGGTTTGTGAGAGGTTTGAGTGAGTTGGAGACTTTGTTGTCGATTGGGATATCTCGGATGAAAGGTGAGGATTTGTGACGAGAAGTGCGGAGAACGGTGGAAGAGGAAGAGGAGAAGCTATAGCTTTGTGGTGAGGTCAGCTAACTTAACTTACTTAACTTATGCCCGTTGTGCTTGGGTGCGTTAGTCAGCTGGTGCTTGCTTGTGTCGGCTCTACCACCATACTACGAACCCCTCCATCTGGCGTTACTTGCCGCATGCTGGAGGGATTATGGTGCGGTTGAGGGCTTTATGTCTCTACTTGGTGTAATGAGATGTTTTTATCGCTTTGAAGAGATTACAGCGATGTTGACGACAGTTGTTGGTAGAACGACCATGGAGTTGATAAAGTGGCCCAGTTTGTATGGAGACCTATGGCCCCTCGGAACTACATCTGCACCTTCCAACGTTTGCATGCATGTTATGATCTTTGTAATAGCCGGTGTGACTGTAAGAACATAGACTATGCTATTGAATAGGCTATAAATGCATTATATAGCTAGGTAGAAGTGACGTTAGTAGTCCATGACCACTGACTGGTAAACTTCAAGCCAGAGCATCTACACTGTAGCCCATCGGGCTAAAATCCCCCCCTATGACGAATTGCGGCCCACTGAACCTACCATCGCAAGTTACTCGGTTCTAAGAGGGCCTTGCGTCGCTCCGATAGTCGTCCATATTATGAGAGCGTCTATAAGGGTTGATCAGGCATGCTTGCTGTTTATTAGCTTGATCCACTATTGCAGGATTGTACGGAATTTATCTGGTTTGAGACAATCAACTGCCGAGCACCATCTAGTAGATAGAATGATCGATCGATCGTTGTAGAATCGTCTGGTAGCACATTTGGCTCAGTCCGTTCGGAGCGGATCGAGCCTAGGACTTTGTTAATCAGGAGAACAGTTAATTGCTCAATGAACCAAAACAAATATCGCTAAAACACAATACAGAACATGGGTATCTATAGGTAATCCTCGCCAAAAAAAAAAAAAAAAAACAAATCCAAAAACGCCGTTCAAACGCTGCGGCAAGGTGAGACCGATCCAATGGTCAATAACTCCAGCAGTGCCAAATGGAATGTCTGACTTGTAGGCAACCAAAGGCTTTGGCAGCCTGCCTACGCAGATTATGCACGTTCATGACCTGACCAAGGACCAGGTATAGCGGCTGTATGGCACCGAGATGCGTGTTCTGATACACGCAGTGTCAAGATCCAACAAGGTTGAGTTTCAGGAGTTTGGCCGTTCCCACTCCTATTTGAAGGTTGAATGTCTGGCAGACGTGGTACCCAGATCCAACACGGTCAATCTTAGAGACTTGGCGGCCCTCACTCCTAGCTAGGAAATGAATATCGAACGACCACGCGGTCAATCAACAAACATTGCGGCCGATATGCTTTATATCCGGCTTTCGAGGCCAGAGACCTCCTTCGCGATCCAACAGCTGGTTCACTTCAGAGAGCAATCACAACTGCAGGGTGAATACCTCTGGAGAACACCAGTGTCCAATGGACGGTCTTCAAGGTAGAACCTATGGGTATAGGTTGTAGAAGTATGGTGAGAGAGTCGAACCTGCCGATACTGTTCGTAGCTGTATTGAGTCCCTCAGGTCTCAATCCCAGTCAATGGACTGGTAGCATCGGATGCAGTATCCGGCAATTCAGGCTCTTCCACCCTCTCGGGAACACCTGAAGAGACGGAGACAACCTCCGTAGCAACAGTGTCGGGAATGGTGCGTTCGTCATCAGCGATCTTGCCGTTGCGGAAGCTGGACCTGTAATCCGAGGGCGAGACATTCGACCGCTGCTCAGGACGCGTGGACCTGAGCTTAATCCGGCCGCGCTCCAGCGCTCGAAGCAAGGTACCAACTTCCTCCGACACGATGCCTCTGAGCTTGCTCATGGTATCGTCGGAGACTTCCGAGTGAGCGTTCCATCCCAGTTTGTCTGATTCCTCAGACGTTAAAGACTTGGCCTCCAGCGATGGTCCATCAATAAGCCGCTTCAGGGTGGTCGGCGACATGTTATTCGGTCGGCGAGGCATCTTCACCGGCTTTTCCTTCGCACTGGACGCTGCCGAAGCAACTTCTTCCTGCTGCCGCTTCGGGGGACGAATGTGGAGAGTCAGCCCTTCTCCAACTTCATTGCGGATTTTGTAATAAACCAGCCCCAGCGTTGCCGCCAGCGCCTGATGCGCAGCCTCAGGATACAGACGAACAGCCTCCGCGCGTGTGAGGGTGGACGGATAGTCACTCGAGTCACTCGAGTCACTGTCGGTTGCAGTGGCGTACACAGGCTCTGTCTGGTGCATACGGCCCCAATATTCATACCCTCCAAGCTGGTAGAAGTCGGCCAGTTGAACCAAGCGGTTAACTAGAAACATTGTTAGACGAGTGTGGAGGATTCACCTTCCGTTCAAATCCACTTACTCCTACTCCTTTTCTTGAGACACCAGAACCGCCAGACAGTACGGGGAAAGTATTCGGGCCATTGTAATGATCCGTCGTCTTCCACCACGGGGACAGGCGTGATCGGAGCGTGAGTGGTATGGGCCAGGGAGTTGAATCGAACCCGCTCCGAATGCTTCATGCGGGACTCGATGAGAGAAAACCGATTGAAGACGGACGTCAGATGGCGTGACGTCTCGTGTTGAAGAGTAATCAAATCGGTACGCAGTTGACTGATCGTCGCGTGCAGCTTGCTGACTTCGACGCGGCATCCACAGACATCGGTCTGCAAATGTTCGACATCCGACTGAATCTGATCCACGTTCTTGGACAACCGGTCGACATCGCTGCGGAGGAAGACGGTCTCGTTACCGGTCTGGCCGATGCTGGATTTGAGCTGCGAGATGCCCGACTTCAACTGGTCGACGTCGGTTTTCAGGGCGACAACGTTGAGATCGATCCGATTCGAGACGGAACGGTTGGCTTCGAACTCGCGTCGAATATGTTCGTCTTCACGGTTACGCCTGTCGACGTAGCCATCCTTGGTCAAAACACTGGATCGAAGTTCCAACAGGCGAGAATCGAGATAGGTTAAGCGGTCGTGGATGTGAGACAGGGTGGGGTCGGAGAGTATTGGAGGTGTAGATTCATGTACAAGAGATAACCTCGGGCTTGAGACAGGTATCGACATGCTCGAGGTGCGAGAAAGGCTGCGTTCAAGGGTGGTGGTCATGGCGAGATCAAGGGACGGTCGGGGGCCGACCGTGACAACTGGTTAATGGTAGGCGATGATGTGTGGGTTTTCGAGGTGCTCTGGGTCTCCTTCCGATCCGGAAATCACAAGAGGTCCATTTTGTTACCTTTTTGGGGGTGTTGTGAAGATAAAATTTCACAGTAAATGATGACGAATATGATGGTGGTGGTGGTGGGCGGGTTTGGAGGGAGATGATGAAAGAAGAAAGGGAGACGGGATGGGGCGAGGCGAGAGGAAGGACTGAGTGAGTGAGTGTCTGTCTTACCACCCCCCTTCGTTGGCTGACTCTGCTTCATTTTTCGTGGCACCCGCCGGGCTAGCGCCTGACCCCTCGTTCCTTCAACCTCGTCACCAACGCACCAACGCACCAACGCACCAACTTACCACAATCAATCCCTGGATGGGAATTGTTGATGCTAATTCCTTAGATCTATCCTGAGTCATTTGCAGTCATACTAAATTACGTCGTCGCATCTAGCAGATCAAAATGGTGCGTCTCTGCCTGGGACTGAAGATGAAACCGTTCCCAATGACCATACACGGTACGGAGGGTGACAATACCGAAGGAACGGGAGGCCGGGAGCTTGGCAGGCCCTACAACCCTGCACTGCAGTGCAGCTGACTGCCTCCTGGTGCTGCCTGCGGCCTTTCAGCAAATCACTGGGAAGGGGAGAGATGATGTTTGCCACGCCGCCTTGGAGGGGGTCGCCGGTTGCAGATTGGTTGCTCAGCCCTGTGCGGCCGCTCGTATCTACCGCTGCTTAGTGTAACCACTGGCCCTCCACGCTAGTCATACTGACTTCATACCGTATCATTCCCGTTCTATACGGCCACTGGTCGTCATACTTATTTACTCTGTAAGGGCGGATGACGAACACTAGTAATTGTTAACCAATCGGACCTATAAAAACAAGTTGTCACATGATGCGGATCTATATCAAGATAGATATATCTATGTAGGAGCTACATAAATTCTACAATGATCGAGCCTTCTACTAGATGGTTCTCGCGGTTGATCGTCCCAGACAAGATGATTTCCGTGCAATCCTGCAATTGTGGACCAAGTCAATAAGCAGCAAGCACGCCAGACTGTTCCCTATAGACGCTCTCATATTATGGACAACTATGCCTAGGTAGATGTATCCCGATCCTTACTTATCTATGACAATTCTCCCCGTATCCTATCATCCCGTCATAGATCTGCATTACCCAAGCGTCGTCGGCTCGAAGAGATCCTTCTTGAGCACTTCCAGGACCTTTTTCTCGTCGACATTTCCCAGGTCGATACCGGCAGGGGCCGGTTGATCGACCTCCGACTCCGTCGGACTCGCGCTGTCCTCTTCCCCTGGCGCGTGGGTGCGAATATACTCGTCTTCAAGTAGATACCGGGCGTCTGATCCCTGCGCGCGTAACGCATCGGGCGAGCCCGGTAGTACATAGATGGTAGGGAATTCGAGGACCGTGTGGTCGCGCAGGGCGGCGGTAAGAGTCATGTTGGGGGCGAGCGGGATCAGGACGGGCTGTTTGGTCGCTGTCCGCGGCCGGTGGAGGTAGAAGTATACGTTTCGATGGGGGATGATCGCGTGCGTTTCTTCTTGTTCGGAGGTGGTAGTTGGTGGGTGTGTTTCGTCAGTCGTGGTTGGTGCTGCCGTAGATTCTGCAGTGCTGGATTCAGCGGTGGTGGTTGTGGTATCTTGGGGTTGCTGAGCGACATTCTCTGTTGTTGAAGACGACAGCTCCTGTTGCTGCGACTGGGCTTGATCTTCTCCCTGCTCTTGGTTCTGCGTCTGTGTCTGCTCTTCTTCCTTTTCCTTCTCGCGTTCTTCCCTACTGAGAGGAAACGCTCGATCGTAGGAGATTGCGATCGGAACCGAATCCCTGCAATTCCTCGTGCGCTTCTCCCCGGTCTCCCCTATCCACTCCACCGTCCACACCAAGCAATGCTGTCTGTAAAGCAGTGTATATAGTCAACTATCCATCCATAAACCGCAGCTCCCAGCCACGCAACCAATGTAGGAGAGAAAGCGAAGGGGACGGACGTACTTAGCAAACCACCTGGACCCATTCTCCTTATTCCGACTCATCCCCCTCGGCGCCCGAATAACCTTGACACCCGCATTCCTCACTTCCCGCAAGAACCCCGATTCCCCTTTCGCAGGGCCAGCACCAGCACCAGCACCAGCACCAGCACCGACAAAACCACCCCTCTTCCTCTTCCCCCCAACGCTCCCACCACCACCACCACCACCACCACCAATCTCCCCTCCCTCCCCCTCCAGCCCCTCTCCCGTCCCCGTGCTAGAAGGAGAATCCAACCCCACGACCGCCAAATCCCTTACGAAGCCCGCAGCATCCCCATCGACCCGGATCCCACGGTTCTCGGCGTCGCGTCCGGCGCGCTCGATCGAGCGCTCGATGCCCGTGATGAAGTTGAAGTCGCGGTCGAAGGCCGTCTCCGTGGCCAGGTCGCTGCGCCGCAGGTAGGCCGCGGGGTCGCGCACCCCGCTGCACTGCGACCAGAGCTTGTGGCGGCGCGTGCAGGGCAGCGAGCAGGTGCGGGTGTTGCAGCGCGGGCAGCGGTATTTGGGGGGTTGGAGGTGGCTATCCATACATGAGAAGTTGGCTGGGTTAGTTTGAGGATGAACGAGGTTTTGGGAGGGTCGATTGGGCTTGGGGTCAGCCGGGGGGGGCTTACCAGATTGTGCAGAGGTCTGTTAGCAGGGAGTCTTCTTGTGAGGACATTTTTGATTTCGGGGTGGGTTTGTTGATGGGTTGTGGATACAGCGTTCTTTTTGGGTATATGTGATGGACTATATAGTGGCAGATGCAAGGAGAAGTAGATGGGTAAAGTAAGACGAAAGCTTGTGAGAGAATCAGAGTAGCTGGGGCAGAATGAATGCGATCGTGTTGATTGATGCGCAGAGAGAAAAAAAACTGATAAGTTGGAGAAGATAGTTGAATCCTTATCGCCCGGGCTTATCGCCGAGGGCTTTGACTGCCTGAGGCAGGAGCTTCATAGTTCATGGAGCCATCCCCAATCGCCAATCACCGAACATGGCTTATTGCTCGGTACGACTGCTACACTGCTTGGCTAGCCTCTTGCTGCACTTCTGACAGGTGACTATGGTACTGACAAAAGCTTCTCTGACAGATAGCCAAATCTCGACACTCACGCTCGCAATGATGCGATTAGTGATCAAACCCAGTGATTTCTAATCTCGGCGTTTGCAACTCCCCGATACAAATGACGACATGAGGAGAATGCGGAGTATGCTTAGGGGGTAGAGTATATCTCCGATTCATATCCAGATTTTGATTCCATTTCTATTCTCTCAACATATCTTCGATTCAGTCATTGACAACCCCAAAACCACAACATGGCCGCTGCTAAACCCTTCGCCATCGTCGCCGGCGTCGGCCCTGGAACGGTACCTCCCCGCCCCTCCCCGCACTCCTATACAAACCATTGCAATGTACAGACTAACACCAAGTTAACGTGCAGGGCGCCTCCATTGCCCGCCGCTTCGCCAAAGCCTACTCTGTCGTCGTGCTCGCCCGCAACCCGGCCAACTACGAGTCCGTCGTCGAGGAGATCAACTCCGCCGGCGGCCAAGCCACGGGCTTCAGCGCCGACCTCTCCGACACCCAGAACGTCAAATCCACCTTCGAGCAGATCACCAAGCAGTTCACCGGCTCCCCGCTCGCCGCGGCTGTGTTCAATGTCGGCGGCGGATTCGTGCGCAAGCCATTCCTCGAACTGACGGCCGAGGAGTTCTCGTCCGGGTTTGAGTCGCAGGGGTAAGTGAACCAACCATCTTCCCACCCAGTCTCCATCTTTGTATGTGCATGGCTAACATCTACAACAGCAAGGGAGCCTTCAACTTCGCCAAGGAGACCCTCCCCCTGCTCCTCCAAGCCACGAACCTTCAACACCCGCCGACCCTCATCTTCACGGGAGCGACGGCCAGCGTGAAGGGCTCGGCGAACTTCTCCACCTTCGCGGCGGGCAAGTTCGCCCTGCGCGCGCTGGCGCAGTCGCTGGCCCGCGAGTTCGGGCCCAAGGGCGTGCACGTCTCGCATGTGATTGTCGATGGGGTGATTGACATCCCGCGCACGAAGGCGTGGACGTTCGAGCACGAGGATGCGAAGTTGGACCCCGAGGCTGTAAGTGGTGATTTCTGTTATGGCTTGACGAATCTGGGCAGCTGATGGCTAATGTTTGACTGTTGGGACAGATCGCCGAGTCGTATTGGCACTTGCATACGCAGCCACGCACGACCTTTGGGTTTGAGCTGGATCTCCGACCCTATGTTGAGAAGTGGTAGGACTGAGGCTTTGCCTGCAAGCTAGGACGGAAAGTCGCTCGTTTGTCTGGGGAAATTGACCGGATCAATCAGTGTGACCTGCATGGTTGGCTGAGATGCCTAATTTCAGTCCTTCATTAATGGTACCTAGTATAGCAGGGGACAATGTTTGAAGTCAGCATGCTAACTAATCGAACCAATATCAAATAAAGTATGACGGTTCACACTACACTACCTCTGAGTCCCTCAAGCAAGCTGCGTAGGCTCTCCACGCCATGTTGTAAATCCTGGAAAGACGCTCCGCACCTGCCTTCGGAGATTTTGTCCGGATGTGTATACATGTCCATCACAATCTCACAATATCAATCCCAAAGGCCACACAGCCAGACACTCTGCAGTCAGCAGTTCTATACTTACCCACACAGTCACTCCTTCATCATCCTTTCTATTCCCTCACATCCACCGCAACCATGCGACTCTCCTTGATCTCCCTCCACGCCAGTCTGTCCCTGATAACGACACTAAGCAACGCTCGCTGGACGACAGCATCGCCACTTCAAACCAGCACCCCGATCGACCCCCAGCAATGCGACTGCTACCTCATCTCCGGCCCGGACCCGGGCTACTTCACGCACTACAAGCTATGGGATTTTCGCAACGCCTCGCAGTTCCAACCACACTCCTCCGCCCCTCAGCCGTCCAACGACACCGACAACCTCTACAAAACGCACAACCTCCTCACCCAAACCCCCTTCAGCAAAGACTGGCACGTACAAACCTGGCACCGGGCCGCGGACCCGCTCCTCTCGCCAATCCCCATGACGAACTCGGAATCCAACGTCTTCCTCATGCACGCCTGGCCCCCGTCGCCGGCCATCCCTGCCGCCCCCGACAACAAATCCACCAACAAGAGCTTCCTCGTCCTCCGCACCACACGTTTCACAAATCACGCCTCGACCGCGGAGATCGAATCGCAATTCGGCTTGATCGACCACTGCTCGCTCCGCCTGCACATGCGCCTAATGTCGCGGACCACCGCACACCACCACCCATTCTCCGCCCCTACAGCCCCTACAGCCCCTACAGCCCCAAACCCCCGACCCAAACCACACCCGAACCCGAAAAACCAACCGAACTTCGCCTACCCGCCACCCTCGACCCCATTACCCCAGATCCCGCCGCGGGACAGCAGCGTCCCCAGCGGCACCTGCGCGGGGATCTTCACGTACCGGTCGGCGGTGTGCGAGTCGGACATCGAGATCCTGACGGCGGACAGCCCGTACACGATCCACTACGCCAACCAGCCGGACTACGACGCGGAGCACGACCGGATCATCCCGGGGGCCAGCGCGGTGGTCAACCTGACGCGGCCGTGGACGGAGTGGACGACGCACCGGCTGGACTGGCTGCGGGCGGAGTCGCGGTGGTACGCGGACGGCCGGCTCCAAACCGCCAAGCGGTACCGCGTGCCCGACCGGCCCAGCATCATCGTCGTCAACCTGTGGAGCAACGGCGGCGAGTGGACGGGCGACCTGCGCGTCGGCGAGTCGGTCTACCTCGGCATCGAGTGGATGGAGCTGGTCTATAACCTCTCGGCTTCGTCGGTTGCGGCTGTCGACGTCTCGGCTTCTGCTGCCTCGGAGTCGGTGGCGTCATGGTCGTCTTGGGGACTGAGGAAGGGAAGTGACGGGGGTGGCAGGGACGGGGATGAGATCCCCGGCTGGCGGAGTAGAAAGCATCATCGTCATCAGCATCATCATTATCGACCAAATCTGAATCTCGCGGCCATGGGCCAGGCTCCGTCGCGTGTGGAGGAACCACGTTATCATCAAGGGGATGGTCGTGAGACGAGCGCTTCATCGTCAGTGGGTCCTTCGACTCACTGTCGGAGACCTTGTTGGGTAGATCAATGAAAGCATAGCTGGGCACTCTTTCATAGTTGTATAGCCTTATTTTTACCGAGACATGAAGAACATGCTTTACTGTTATTTTGATCCGAAAGAGAAACTGTAGACTTGAGATAGTGTCATTGTAAGGGTGGTCGCCCGAGGTAATAAGAGCGACGCAACTTCGAAGATACACATTCATCGGGGAACCAAGCCCTTGTATTTACATCAAGCATCCCCATCCCTTTCCATGCCCTCCATACTCAAAAACAAATGCATGTCAGGAGCTCAGGCTTCAACTGACGGGGTATCCGTACAAAACACAAACAGTCAACAGACGCTAACAACTCGCTTCACAAACATGACTCCAGCCCAATGCAACCAAGACCTCAATAACATGAAGAACGCTAATCATACATACTTGCTCATCCCTACCCACACTTTTCATCTGGTTTTCTTTTCTTTTTTTTGTTTTTTGTGTTCCCCCCCCCCCCTTTCTTGTTTGTTTCCCTCCTCCCCTTCCTTCCCTCCCCCCAAAGGTGCCGCCATCCCCGCCCCAAGTGGCCGGTCGAAGTGCTGACCGCGACCACTCACAGCATGACCCCCCGGCCCTGGACAGGATTGAAGTCCCCGTCCAGGCCTCCATTCATCAACTCCCCCACTATTTTCTGTCGCAGTAGTGGGGAGTCTGGAGCCCCATAGGATTGGGGCTCCAGGTTGATGGCGACGGCTTTCGCCGTCGACAGGAGGAAGACACCACAGTCGGACCCGTTGTCTTGCCGGGGAGACAGGGACGGCAGCACCTTCCACTCCGCCTCCACAAATCCCTCCCCCAGTTCCCCCCCCAGCCATGTTTTGATGAGATTAACATGGCGCTTGTTGAGCCCTCCAAGGGAATCGAAATGTTCGATGGTGCGATCGCACGGCTTGACCACGATGAGTGTCCAGTGATATTTGTCATGGATGGGCACAAACACCGTGTCGACGTTGAGGAGGGCCTCGCCTCCAATCTTGGCCCGTGTCGCCCACCTGCGGACAGACTCGTATCCCTTGTCTCGCAAATTGGAAAAGAAAAAAGAATTGAATGCGTGGTATCGCGGCTTGTCATGTCTCCCAGAGTTGTTGTTGGTTCTTCGCAAGTAGTCGATAATTAATGCCATGTACGCGTTGATCACTTCGTCGTTCAGCCACTCCAACGGCGTATAACAGGTTGCCAGATCTCGTGTTGTCAATGTCTCTCCCGAAAGTGTAGTGGCGACCTTCCTTGACGGTGGCCCAGCCATAGTGTCTTCAAGACGTTTGATCCACTTAGCGCTTAGGGGTCGCACTGCGGGCCGCTCTAGGAGGATTCTTGCGGGTGTGCGTTGCTGGCTCTGCCCGCTTCTTTTTCCCTCTTTCCCCTCGTTTTCCGCCACTGTCGCTCTCCAGCTTTTGGCAAGAAGAGACTCAGTCCTGCCAACCGGGATAGGTGAAAGGGTAGGATAGAACATGCTTACCGCAGAAACCGCACGACCCAAGGGGTGTTGCTCTGCCTCCTGTGTAGAGGGATCCTGCGAGAGCGTGTTGCTTTCCTGTGCAATATCAGATGTACCTTCATGGCTGATCACTTCATCCGCAGTCGTCTGATTGGTATTCACATGTTCGATATTCGTGTCTTTGGTTCTCATGTACTCATTACTCAACATATCGCGTTCAGTGCTCATCAAATCGTGGGACGTAACTTCAGTACTCATCATATCGCGGGACGTGGTATCATGAGCCTTAGGAGCGATGTTCTCCTTCTGCTCTTCGTCGGTAATAGCTTTAACATCGGTGTCTTCGCTGGAAAGGATATTTCTCGCGTGTGCATCAAGAAGATGACGGAGATGTCCAATTGCTGCCCTTCGTGGTGGCGGTGACGGTGTCCGTAAGGCTGGCGGCGCGTTCCGAGGTGTTATGATACGCTCACCAGTCACAGGCGAATTTGGGAAGTGGACCCTGCGGGAGGGCTTCGGCTTTGGCGTATGCTTTTCATGACTGGCATCGGAAAAGCTGATGGTAGTCGCATCGACCACAGAAGACTTCGAAGATGAGGCCACGGCGCTGCTGCTGGTCTTCAAAATACTCTTCGTTTTCACCTCTTCAGGCTGCGTGATCTTGGGTTTTTCGCTAGCAGTCTCCTTCACCTCGATCGAAGGAATAGGAACGGGTAGGTAACGATGTGCCATTCTCATGTAGTTGATGTGCTTGAGTCGCGTGGGATCTCCTGCAAGATAGGCTTTCTTTGCCTCTGCGACTGCGTGACTGTTCAAGAGAGGAGCTGGAAACATTTTACGCAACCATGAGCCGCGGAGGCGAATGGGGGTAGAAACCACCGGAGCTCGGGTCTCGGATCTCTTTGAAGGATAGACCGGATCTTCGGATTCGGGTGCGGCACGTTTCAAAGACTTGGGCATGATAGCCGAATCGTGGCCGAATGTATTCGAGGACTTGGAAGGGCTAGACTCAAAATCGGAACCAGAATCAATCTCGACAAGTTCGAAAATACCATCCGCTGGCGATGGCTTTTCAACTGGATGGCGCGGCTCGAGAGTGGCACCCATCACATCATCTTCAACAACAACAGAAGCCGCGTCAAGCGACGGCATTTCAACTGGATGGGGCGGCTCAAGAGTGGCATCTATCACATCATCATCATCATCAACAACAGAAGCCGCGTCAATCAACGGCATATCAGAATCGGCAGGTGCTGCTCTTCGGTGATCTTCAGCACCATGCTCAGCATTGGTGTCTCTGTGAAGTACTCGCTGAATGCGACGTTTGAAGGTTCCAACAACATTCACAGCTCGTCGGGCGGTTATGGTAGCGCGCTCGCTCATACCATTGCCAACGACACGCACAGCTCTAGCTGTATTGGTAGCATGCCTGGTCATGTTGTTACCGACGACACGCACAGCTCTAGCGGTATTGGTAGCATGCCTAGTCATGTGGTTACCGACGACACGCACAGCTCTAGCGGTACTGGTAGAACGCCGGGCCATATTGTCACCAACGGCACGCGTCAAGCGCACCGTCAAACCAGCCCAGCTTGAAGCAGGGTCAGGGGCTTGCTCCGGGACATAGTTATCAGTGACATCGGCGAACCGTGTCGCTGCTGGGGTGAACTCCGGCCAACTGCCGGGTGGACAGATTTGGGGAGTAGTAGGAATACGCGGAGCAAAGTCACGCGTAGGATGCTCGGTACGTGCCGTATCTGAAACCAAAGTATCCATGTTCGTTGCCTCCTTCTGCTTCAGTGGGCATGACTTGGCAATTGTTAGACCGTACGGAGTATTCTGAGATTGTTGCGGGCGATTAGGACACTCCTCATCTTCGTCAGAGATCTCTAGTGGTCTCTTGCGAGTCGCGGTACTGGAGGAATCCTGCCTTATGTCGGCCAAGATGCCAGCCCCAAGCTTCTTAAACTTTTCTTCTTTTGTGCCAGACAAAAGCTGAAGCTTGATTCTCGGCGGACTGTGATCAGATGTACCATCCGAAGTGTTAGGTTCAGTAGGATTGATTGGACGTGAAGCAAATGCATTCTCTGAAGGTCTCGTTGTTCGTGGGAAAAAGTCCCAATTGTTCTCGCTCCGACTTTCAATATTACCCGACTTGTCGAATCGAAGAGGGCGTAAGCAAGAGCGTGGACGATCAGGATCAGAGAGTCTAGCATTACTAGGCAGATCAAAGCGGGTGGAGGATTGTCCGCGGCCGTCAAAGGCATTCGAACGCGCGAGAAGTGGATGTATAGCACGATCAGTGTTCAAGAGACTAGTATTTCTAGCCATGTCAAAGTGCGAAGAGGATTGTCCATTGCTGCCGTATGCGCTAGGACGCGAAGGTGGATTCATGCCACGATGGGTATCAAAAGGTCTAGCATTGCTAGCCATATCAGAGCGAGAAGATGTCTGTCCATTGCTACCGTATGTGCTAGGACGCGAAGAGGGTGGATTCATGACACGATCGATATGAGCAGAAGGGCCGAAACCATGGGACGCATCGCGGGGAGGACTTCTGCCGGGAGGACTGAGCCGAACCTTGTCGCGCTAACAGAGACGGTAAGATTAGTCCTGAAGTTATCCTTGGAGCGAGTCAGCTTACCTCTTTCTGCCACAGCTCCGCGAAAGCATCAACGGATTCCGACATGATCAATGTCAATGTTGGAGAGTATGGTCTGGTGTAAACGGAGTGATATGATTGTGAGTGATGTGAGTTTGGTGATCAGAGCAGTGATGTAAGTCCGGTGATATGAGCAGCGATGTGAGTTTGGTGATCAGAGCAGTGATGTAAGTTCGGTGATAGGAGCAGCGATGTGAGTTTGGTGATGAAAGCAGTGATAGTAGGTGTGGTGATGTGAGAGGATGTGTTGTGTTGTGTAAAGAGGAAGTGAGGAGAAACAAAAAGAGGTGGATGGGTAGGAGGAAGGAAGAAGAGAAACAGAAACGACAAAAAAAAGGGAAGGCGCAATCACAACACAATCATCGCCATGGCAGAAACACTGTTGCCGAAATATTCACTGAGGTCTGAGGTTGCGGTGCAGTGAATTGGTGTTACATTGGAAGACGTGGGGCCAAGTGAATGTGGTGGGCGCAACCAGGCAGATAGAGTGAGGAGTGAATACCCGCGATATGAAGTTATTGGAGCAACAGAGCTAGCTAGCTAATAATTATGCTCAACCCCAGAGAGGCTTAGCGTCGGAAGCTTGACCCTCCCTCCGGGGAAAGGAGCTCACGTGATACTGTACCGTACTCGACCTTTACATATATACTCGAATCTTGGTGGTCGAACCGGCCTCGCTCGCATAAACCACATTGCTCACCTCATTCCTTGTGGATTCTTACTGATATAACTACTTCCTAGTCTACTTATACTCATATACATTCAATTCCATAGGCCCAATCACATGAACCTAGCGTGCTTCGCATGCCTTGGCCGAGGGCGCATCGCGAGTCACCGTGGACCCGATGGCCAGGACCTCGTATGGAACTTTTTTTAGGGTTTTGAATTCTTGTGGACGAATAGGTAAGATACTTTATCATTATGTGAAGCTAGCAGAGCTCAGATAAGGAAAAAAGAGAAACATAAACTCGTATATACAGTAACAAAAATGTCAGCTATGTTACATCGCGGAAGTGTATAATCCGACGTGCTGGAATAAACCAGGAGACGTTGTCCAAACGGGACTACACCCGTGATCACCATGCTAATAGGCCGCGAGGCCAATTTGCGAGAACAAGAGAGGAGCTCCCTCCATAACTATCCAAGCAATTCCTTTTGATCCGGAAAATGTCAGCACACTTAGCTCAAGCGACGTCGCGGGTGCGATAATTCAAGGGAACTTGGCAGGACTTACCAGAATACACCACCAGCTTTGTGACTACCTCTACATCATAGCGTACGCGCGGGGGTTTGATTTGCGCGAAGAGTTCTTCTTCATCGGCCTCGATTCCAGCATCAAAATCGGGAAAGGGGACCGTGGATGAGTCCGCTTTGCTAGGGTTGTCAAGAGACGTCGCAAGACCTGGAGCTCCGGTGCCCATCATGTGCTCATAGTCATTGAGCTTGGATGGTCGTCTGGAGAGCTTCGGCGGCTGAACCTCTCTGGCAGAGGAACCAGCCTGACCAACCTCCGTGGCAGGGGCAGTCTTATGGCCATTAGAGAGACTCTCCCGTCTGCGCTTCTCACGATATGCCAATGTTTCATAAGCATCGGCCTCTGATTGAGGACCAACGGATATTGCCCGTCGTCTCGGATGGCGTATCGTGGTGAGGAACGATGGGATCTCGGATAAATTGGGGAGAACTTCATGATCCTTTAGATGCGCTGGAACACGGGAGTATTGCCTATCGAGTCAACCGGTTAGCTGTTTGTGTGGAATGGTAGTCCGTTTGCAATGTAGTTCGGCTTTTCCGATCAAAAGGAGAAATCAACTTACGAAGCATTGGTGAAGAACCTTCGAGGAAGGATCAGTCCTAGCTTTTCAAGACCCCGAAAAATAGGTGGGAGAATCCGAAGCATGAAGGGTTTTGTCACTGCCCGCCAAACGAAGAGTAATAGGATTCCCAGGACCAGCCGAAGAGCAGTCTTGATCATCTCCACCAATTCAAATCTGGGCGCAGGGCCTGCTGCCAATTCATACCACCCCATCTTCGAGCGTGCCAAGTGCCAGTAAGCGATTTGGGCACCGAGTGTCACTCCCGCAAAAGCCACGCTATCATCGAAGCATGGACAGTCATCCGCAGGCTCTGGGTGCACGCGAACCAGGGCTAAGATCAGCAAAATGACTAGTGTGACGCCTTTCCCTGTAGCAGCAAGGATATAATCATCGATGGTTGGCCCATATGTGTACTGCAAATAGGCAAGGAACCCGCCTAACAGGCAGCCCGTGATAACGTCGCAGAATCCGTGCATCCCGCAATACAGGCGGCCCAAAACAATGGAGCTTACATAGACATAAGTTGAAGCCTGGAGTGCCAAGTTCACACTAGGGCTAAGAGTACAGTCCGGAGAATTGAGGAGGGAGAGAACATAGACTGCGACCGAAACAGCATTCGTAGAGTGAGTGGAAGGAAATCCATACTCCAGCGCTGCAGAGCCGGACATCGTTATGCGCTGGAGGGGTGGAGATAAAGGCCGAGGTAGGCACAGGAGGTCCTTGATGAAGCCACTAAAGAAGACGCCGGAGGCCAATAGATGCACCATCCTAGACGAGATCCAGACATGTTAGCGATTTGCATCCGCCAAGCGCAGAGCCCCCCCCCCCCCCCCCCCGGGGGCCGAAATAGTTGGTTGTATGCAATTGAGAGCACGTACCCACGTCCCAAGCTTGCATAACCGCACCAGAATAGAATTGGGAGGAAAACCATGAAAAAGGTGTGTGTTCCTAGGTTGGCGGTGAACGCGAAGTATGAATCCAGGGTCGGAGTTCGAATTTTCTCCTGGCACCAGGCGAGATATGGTGTTTCGAATCGAATCAATGGAAGCAATTTCTGTCGTGGCCAGTAACGCCAAAGAGGAAGCTGGTTGCGATCTATTCAAAGCACAGGTCAAGCCACTGTTAGTGTTGGACAAGGAGACTGACTTCAGATAGGACAAGTACAAACATACAATGATTGAGACTTCTCAGGCCAGCGTCGGGCTGGCCATTTTTGCTGTGAGCCATTTGCGATGACTGTTGCCCAAGCAGACAAGCGTGTAGAGCTATTAAAATGATGAATTGATCGCGATTCCCTCCATGTGGGTTTTTTTTTTCCGTTTCCTGGCGGACAGATTCCCTTAGGTTCTCCGACCGCCTTGGGTGGACATCAATGCTTCGGAGAGCTTCGAATCAGACAAAATATGGAGATAGCGCCTGAGTAGTCGGGGCGAGAAGAGAGGGGAGGCCGGTAAGACACAATGTCAACGTCGATGAAGGAGAGAAATCAGAGCCAGCCTGGAGGTATTACTACTTAGGTAGTCACGTAGTCTAGACTAAGTACTTGTCCCGCGGACGCGGACAGTCAGTCACTTATCAGAATTGTGTTGGCGGGATTTGGCGGTCAATGCGCCCGCCGCCAATTCGAACAGGAAGAGCCCCAAAGGGCCTCCGACCGCGGTCCACGGAACCTGGAAAGGGACGTGCTGCAGGGTCACGTGTCAGGCCGTTTTTACTTGCATAATCAACCTTTGAAGTCTCCATAAATACTTGATGGTCAATTGGATACGGGTACAAGTAATTTAGACATTCACTCATCATGCTTGAAACCCCATACCAAAGTCGGGTCGTGCACAGAGCCCGTGGAGGACCAAGATATCCATGATATAAATATATATTATGCGTGAGAAGACTTCTTGAGAAACTCCGTCCCCAATCACAGAAAGCATGACCTATCTGGGGAGCACGGGGCAGAATTCCAGGCTCCAAGAGAGAAAAAGTAGTCGGACAAAATTACGTCAGAAGATGATTCCACTCCTAGTCTTGGTCGGAAACTGTCACAACGGACGGTTAGTCTACGGTTTGAGGCAATTACGCAAGGAACCGCAGTTGACAGACGCCATCCCATTCAATCAACCAACAGATCGGAATCAGCCCTGGCACTAGGAACCATAACCCCGATTTAAAGATCGGAAGTGATCTGAAGGACAAAGGAGGAGTTGGCAAGAACCAGAGTAGGTAGTAGGTACTGTACAGTACAGTCCGTCCTGTACCGGGCCACATGGGGGAGGACACAGCTTGGATGGGATGGAGCCTTGGTTCTAGCCCAGTCAGAGTCCACCAATTGGTCCAATTCAAGGAATTGAATGAGATGTGACGAATCTGCTAAAAATAAACTTGAAGATGGAGCACGATGTCAAGAAAAAAAAAAAGCTCACAGGAGACAAGACAGGAGCTGAAACTGCGCTGGACTTCCTCAAAAGTAGGGAACTACTTGACAGCGGAGACGGTGCGTCATTTGTCCCGCGGCGTTGCCATGGCAGCTCATCGGCCGGTAAACATCGGTCTGGCGGTTTCATGTCAGCCGCAATGGGGCCCTCCGTCGCAGCACCAGCACCAGCACCAGCAACAGGAGCTGCCCGCCCCATCAATGGCTCTTTGGCCATCGGTCCCCGTATCAGAGGACTCGATCTTGAAGCCTGACCTCCCTTCCTCCCCTTCTGAACTTCTTCGTGCTGGTTTCGCGTATTGTCTTTCACGTTCTCTTTCCCAACCGCCCCCCCCCCCTCCTCCTCCTCCTCCACCTCCGCCTTTGCCTCCACCACTACCACTACCACTACAATCGATCTCCTCCTTCGTGCAGCAACCTCGCAGCGACGTGTCGACTTTGGAGCCTCATTCTCACAAGAACGGAAATTCCATAATTACCTACCACATTTCAAACCTCTTGGCTTTTTGCATTCGGGCAACCAGGTGGATCTTGAATAGTGATAATTATCTGGAAGCATTTCTTGACCGACACTTTGGTCCCCCTTCCGGAAAGACTGGATACCTACATTCCATCAATTCTCCTATTCCGACATCATGTCAGGTACCATGTATGATGACCAAGCTTATGCACCCTCGCGTCGTCATTCACTCGCAACTCCTCCTCAGTCCATGAATCCGCGACAAAGTCGGACGCGCAGCCAGAGCGTCAGAGTCAGCAACGGCACCGTCAGCACAAACACCAGTGTTTCCAGCGGAAGGATGTCCGAAGCCACGAATATCACGCAGCCTCCGGCATATTCCAAAAAATTTGTGGTGGTAGGCGACGGCGGCTGCGGAAAAACCTGTCTCTTGATTAGTTATTCGCAAGGTTATTTCCCGGAGGTAAGTGCCTGACGGTCCCTGCGGCGGCTTGAATCTTCCGATCCAACTGACCCCCCCGGTTCAGAAATATGTTCCTACAGTCTTCGAGAACTACATCACACAAACAACTCATCGGGCTTCCGGAAAGACGGTCGAGCTCGCTCTCTGGGACACTGCTGGCCAGGAAGAATATGATCGTCTACGTCCATTGTCGTATCCAGAGACGGATCTCCTGTTTGTTTGCTTTGCGATTGACTGCCCCGCCTCGCTAGAGAATGTGATGGATAAGGTATGCTTGACTCTTGCCCGCCTTTGCAACTAGTGAAAGCCTCTGACCAACATACATAGTGGTATCCTGAGGTCTTGCATTTCTGTCCAACTACCCCGCTCATTCTAGTGGGCTTGAAGTCGGATCTGCGCAATAAGAGAACATGCATCGAGCTGCTTAAAACCCAGGGTCTAACGCCGGTTACGCCCGAACAAGGCGAAGCAGTGGCGCGTCGTATGAACGCCTCGTACGTGGAATGTAGTAGCAAGGAGATGCGCGGTGTTGACGGCGTATTCGGGCTTGCAGTTGATATTGTGGTCTCCGCCGAAGAACAAGACTACAATGAACGTCAGACGTCCAGCGCTGGCAGCAAACCCCGAGTCGGTGCCGGCGGCGGCGGCGGCGCAAAGAAGGTCAAAAAGCGCAGCTGCAAAATCCTGTAACTGGTTGGCTCGTTCTATCTCTCTACTGACTCCCCGACTGCGACTGCTAAATTGTCATACACCCTGACCCCCCCAGCTTTTCATTTCCCCTTTCACGCTCATGCCACACACAAGCCTGGTTGCTTTGACGGCTTCACCGACTCTTTTCACATGTGATACGAAATAGCAAAGCGAGATGGACCCGGCAATGATCGGCACCCTCCGCTTGACTTTTTGATGTTGGTTCTCAGTCCACTTGGGCTAGTATCTGTTTCTTGAAATTTGCCGGCGGCTTTCTGTTTATCCAATAGCCTCTTACGTTGTTATACCTGCTTGGCCTTGATGATTTTCTTTTTCATAAACTACGATTGTCTCAGTCATCTCACACTCCTGTCCCCTTCTTTCTATTCCTTGAATGCTTTATGTCTGTTATGAGCACGGCCATAGGGCCTTTATTCGTTATGCATGGGACGGGTGTTTTTTCTTTCTTTCTTTTTTTTTTGGGCGCAAGCGAAACCCCATGTAACTGAATTCAAACACTATCCCCAGAATTTCACTGGACAATCATCCAGTAATTCATTCATCTCTGAAAAGAAAAAAAAAGGATATCCTGCGACAAAATAAGTAGACAAGGTCCGTTAACCACGCCAAAACAGATTCACGCCATACTCAAAACGCCCGATTTTCGCCAGGTATCGTAGCCAACAAATTATATATCTCCACCTCCCAACAGAGCAGATCAAGCCGCAGCATCCTTCATCTCCTCATCGCGAAGCGCACTTTGCCCCTCCTCCTCCTCCTGCTCCTGCTGCTGCTGCCCCTCGTTCCGCCGATCCGGAGCCTCACTCCCCTCAGCCGGCTGGCCCATGAAATTCTCAAACCGCGACCACAGGGCCTCGACGGAGCCAAACTCATTCCCCACCTACGCAAGGGTAGATTAGCGATCCAGTTGATCCTTGCATGGAAGCCAATAGAACCCCATCCTTCCACGTAGTAGGGAAAAAATGAAGAAAGGGTGGGGGGAGGGAGCGGTGAGACCTACAGAGATGATGCTCTCTAAGTTCCGATTGAGCCGATTCATATTCTGAAGAACTTGCTCCATGCCCTAGCCAATCCCCGCCATATGAGTTTAGTTTTTTTTTGTTTGGGTGAGTGATTTTTGCTGGGGTGTGCTCTCGCTTTGACGAAGGTCCGGCCCAATAACGCAATGAAACGGTCCATCGTACCGAGAGAGTCTGGGATGAGAAGCGAACTTACCACGGCGATTTCTCTCACGAGTTCTGCCCGTTGTTGCTCGAAGACCGTCGGGGTCATGGATCGGGATTTTGCGCCGGGCGTGGTTGACATCTTGGTGGCGGGCTGGCGGTGCTCGGTTGATGGGTTGGTCTCTTGCGAGTGGAAAGCTGTTCAATGGCGGGTCTTCGATGTGAGGTCTGTGGCTCAATGCTGAGTTACTCGGGTTGTACTGTACATGAATAGATGATCGTATCCTAGCCCTTATCCCGTCTGCTTGCGCGTCGACTGTTTTTCGATGCTTGTCTTGTGGCGGGGCGGTCGGTACCTGGCTGTCCCGATTGGGAACGGGTTTGTTTATCATGCTGGGCAGATCGTTTCACCGCTTGACTGTCCGCCTTGGCTTATCGATAAGGCTTTTGCTGCAGGGATGCGCTGTTTCTCGCGATAAGGAATCATGCTGATCTGGTGTATGCAGAGAACGGGAAGACGGCGATCCTCAAGCATGCAGAACGCTCAATTCTTTGAAAGATTCTGACTGCTCAGAGCTAAGCTTGTGTTTGATACCTTGGGAATGCGAGATGACAGCTCTTCTCGGGCTCCGCGATGTCCGTCTAAGGATTTGACTACAACTTCGAGAAATGGCTTCTTTGCGCGCCATTGCGCTACTCCAGGACGCGTTATTACCGGCTTGCTCATTGCGGGCTGAAAGAACATGTGCAGGCTAGCATTCAAAACGCCTAAAGTGCGAAGTCACTGACTATATTGACAGAGCATATAGTCTCTTGACGTGCTGGTGACGTAACCCCACCAGAGAGGTTATAAGTTCAATCCGCGGTGACTGCTATGTCCTTTATCGAAGCATTCCTCGAATCGTGAAAGACTTGACGACTCCAGTCACAATGAAAGCGATTGGCGTTGAAGAGTACGGTCCTATTGATCATCTCCAGGCAAGGGAAATCCCGAAGCCTTCCGAGCTCCAGCCCCGGAATTTGTTGGTTCGGTACGAGCGATTTGTCTATTGATGCGAACAAGGACTAAGATCAACTGTTTCAGGGTCAAAGGAGTATCCATTAATCCAGTGGATACGAAAGTGAGAAACGGAACTTACGATGACTACCCAGGCAAGCCCATATCTATTAGTGACCCAGGGTAGGATTATTTTACTGACGAACCGCCAGACTACTATGATAATGTCCCCCGACCGTTTCAAATCACCGGATACGATGCTGCAGGTGTCGTAGAAGCAGTTGGCTCTGAGTGCTCCTACTTCAAGGTTGGAGATGAGGTCTTCTATTCCGGGAGTCCCATCAGACAAGGTTCCAACGCAGAATATCAATTGGTGGATGAAAGGAGTGTGGGACACAAGCCGAAACGCCTGGACTTCGTCGAAGCCGCTGTCATGCCTCTGACATATATCACGGCATATGAAGCGCTAGTTGAGAGGCTTGGAATCAAGAAAGGCGAGCGAACAGCAATCTTGATCATTAACGGCGCTGGTGGAGTCGGTGCTGTGGCAATTCAGATTGCACGCGTACTGCTCGAAGTGCCGGTGGTCATCACCACAGCCTCGCGACCGGAGACGATCAGCTTCGCCAAGGAAATGGGTGCTACGCACGTTGTCAACCACCGCGAGGACGTTTCGAAACAAGTAGCAGATCTGAACATTGATCTCCCTTTGAAGTATGATATACCCCAGTTTCAATGGGACATAAACTGACCGTTCATCCAGGTACATTTTCATCACACATTCCACGGACCAGTACATGGATACATGCGCCAAGCTCTGTGCTCCATTCGGTAAAGTTTGTTCGATTGTGCAAGGCCAGGCGAAAATGTATGGGACCGAGTTCATGTCCAAATCTCTCACATTTGTCTGGTGTCTGCTTGGCACGAAGCCGTATCACAAGGTGGACGTTGATTCGCACCATCGCATCTTGGAGGAACTCTCGGAGTTGATAGATTCCGGAAAGATCAGATGTCATTTGACCAAGCGACTGAAGCTCACCCTCGAAGGTGTCAGGAAAGGGCATGAACTTCTTGAATCTGGTGGAAGCATAGGGAAAGTGGGCTTGGGACTGGATGAAGCAGGGCCCGGAGAGCTATTCGCTTGAACTGATTGGCATAGAGACATTGCCACCCCATGTTGCAGCAGCATTTAATAGGTATAATAAGAACCACACTGGTATAATAATATAGACAGGGTGCTGAGAATAGATTGCTCCCCGCAAATTCCCCGCCTCAGGCAGGGTCTTTCGCTGGGCGGCAATGCGGAGAAATCCAACACTAGTCCTATAGGAAACTCTTCAGCATCGATGCCTGCCGTTCGGGTCTCAACTCAGCGTCTAGTTGGGCCCGGATACGACTGCTCCCGTATTTCTTTCCTAAACTGTGATCGCGTCAACACTCTAGCTCACGCAGACTTCCTGCAGTGTGCCAATGGTTTCTTGCTGTGCTGAGCCTGTGTTCGCTGATCCTGAACCTGCCTATGTCTTTCTTTTTTTCAAGTATTCATACATGACATGTTTCAGTCCGGCTTGTCCGAACATGCAGGGTCACAATGAGCATCTCGGGATAGGGTCAACCGAGCCTTGAACCTGATAGAGAGCCGTGATGGAACTGAGGTATAAAGTCGAGAAATATTCATGATGAAAGCTGATCAGCACCAGCACAGTGTGCAATCACAGCTCGACATTGATCAAAATGCGCTTGACCTCGCTTCTGATTACCGCGCTGCTCTCGCGACAGAGCATTGCATTCGCTCACAAGACGACCGGACCTTATGACGACCTCGGCTCGTTTCAGAATCCAGCATCTCGCGCACGTCCTCGTTTCCGCTACTGGCTGCCGGATGCCAGCGTTGACCCCGGACTCGTCCAACAGAATATCAAAGATGCTGGCGCTCTAGGTGCTGGTGGTGTTGAGTTCCTCCCATTCTACGCTTATGGCTCCGAGGTATCAGGAGCGGATTGGGTGATTTACGGCTTCGGCACCCCAGCGTACCTCAAAATGTTCAAAGCTGCTCTCGAGGCTCACAAAGAGGCCGGCCTTGCCATGGACTTTCCCCTTGGTCCTAACCAGGGCCAGGGAGTGCCTGCACGGTATGATGATGAGGGGCTTCAGTGGGATCTGGTATGTGACAGAAAGTGCATCCAGGGATGTTGGTTCATACTGACTCCTGGGACTTGAATACCACAAGGCCCCCTACGCAGTTGCTATCCCTCCGAACGGATCTTATGATGGCAGGCTTCCAGGCTGGGATACAGGCGATTTGGTGGCACTTGTTACGGCTCAGGTCCTTTCTGCTCGGAACATCGCAGGCCAGACCGTTACGACTTTCTACACTGTGGCAGTGGAGGATCATATGCAATACGTGCTCAAGAATGCAACACTACAGGACTGGACAGACAATGTATCATCGGAAGGCACCGTTCGTCTGAAGCTCCCTTCGTCTCACGGCGAAACTTATCTGCTTTTTGCATTCTACCAGTACCTGACACACACCCAAAATCTCCCAGTCAGCTCAAACATGACCGGGACAATCTTTGACAATGGATCCTACATTGTCGATCACTTCAGTGCGAAGGGAGCACAGGTAGTCACCAAATTCTGGGATGACTATTTGCTCGAGGACGCTGAGGTCAAGGAGCTTCTGTCCGAGGTTGGTAACTATGGTAAGCATTTCTGCCACACCGAGGAACGAACATAGCTCATAAGTCGACAGGCTGGGAGGACAGTATCGAGGCGACTTCGAACATATCGTGGACGCCATCACTGCCGAAAGTCTTTTATGACAAGTATGGCTATGACCTGAAGCGTTTTCTACCACTGTTCATGTTTGGCAACAACAACATTGGCATTCAGAATGCTGCACCAGGCTCAGTAGAGTGCCTGCTAGACACTCCAGACCAAGGAAAGGGATATGTGAATGACTTCCGTGGCGCTCTGATGGAGGGATACCGGGCCTACGTGGAGCATTACACAAACTGGACCAACGCAATGAACCTACAATATTCATCTCAGGTTGCCTACAACCTACCTGTTGATGTGTTGGCTAGTGTCCCATATGTCAATGCACCGGAGTGCGAGAGCTTGCAGCACCAGAACAATGTTGACAGTTATCGACAATTCTCTGGTCCTGCGATCTTAGCAGGAAAGAAAGTCATCTCGAACGAGTTGGGCGCTGTCCCGACAGAAGCATATAGCCATACGATTACAGAGCTTCTGTGGCAAGTCAATCGAGCGGCTGCAGGGGGCGTCAATCAGGTCGTGTTGCATGGGCAATCCTACTCTGGAAACTACTACAATACGACATGGCCAGGCTATACAGCGTTCTTCTATCTGTTTTCGGAATCATACTCTGAGAAGCAGCCATACTGGAACCACGGATTCTCGGAAGCCTTGAACCACATTGCGAGGTTACAGTATTCTCAGCGCAAGGGTATCCCCAAAGTTGACTTGGTCGTCTACAGCAAGGACTCCGCATCTGATCCGTATTTGGGCACTGTCTATAACCAGGCTGATCTGATCGGAAATGGTATGTGTCTTCGCTCCCACTTTCGTGGATTTTACGTTCTGACCGGAGAAGGTTACACCTATGCCTACTTGTCACCCGAGAACTTCGCCTTGCCTCGAGCCTATGTCAAGAATGGATCACTGGCACCGGATGGCCCCGAACTTTGCGCCATGATTATCCCAGGGCCGAGTAACCTCACTCTTGATGCGATCGGCTATATCAAAGATTATGCCCGTGCAGGTCTTCCGGTGATCTTATCAGGTGGACTGCCCAACATCTACTTCACAGAAGATGGGACTGAGACTGCCGCTCGGGCAGGGCTGGCCTCTCTGCAGGCAACCCAGAATGTCTATACAGTCGCTGCTGGTCAAGTAGCTAGCAAGCTCTCAGCTTTGGGAATCTCGCCCAGGGTCAAAGTGCAGGCAGATAGGACCTGGTATTCGACCTGGAGATCCGACAGCGACGGCACAGAGTATCTTTTCATCCTCTCGGACCTGGTCAAGTCTGCTGGCACGGTAAGTGTCGCAACCACCAAACAGCCCTACTCACTAGATCCCTGGACTGGCGAAGAGAGGCCGATTTTGGCATATCAGCAGAAATTTGGCCGCACAGTGATCCCCTTCTCTTTCGCTGCAAACCAGACCGCCATACTGGTCTTCGGGAATACCACGACGTCTGCGACGTCGCTCCGTACCACCGAAATTCCCGCTTCAATCATCGGGCATGAGTACAGTCAAGCAGGGAGCCTTCATCTGCACGTCTCATCCAGCAGCCTGGCAGAGACATCACTGCCACTCTCCAACGGCAAAACCATCACGCAGCTCACCAACCGCACCGTCGCCCCAAGCATCACTCTTTCTAACTGGAGTCTCACCGTCGAGCATTGGGACCACCCTCTCAATATCGGCGATGCCTCCACCATTGCGCTCAAACACAACACCACCCACAAGCTCACTTCCCTTGTCTCTTGGCGCGACATTCCTGCCATCGCCAACGCCTCTGGAATAGGCTACTACACCCACAGCCTGGCCTGGTCGCCTTCAGCATCTGCCTCAGGCGCATACCTCCTTCTACCGAAAGCCACCAACGGGGCGCGGGTCTACGTGAACGGACACCGCGTCCCGCCCTTCGACTACCAGGCCCCGAAGATCCACATCAGTCCGTACCTTCACGCCGGCACCAACGACATCACTGTAGAGGTTCCGTCCGTGATGTGGAACTACCTCCGCTCCATTTTTGCTGAGCTCTGGACAGGCGGCATTCATCCGACGGATGTCTTCAGAGCCTATGGAGGCTTGCCCGGAACAGTGGACAACGGGCTTATCGGAGAGGCAACGGTTGTGCCATATGTAGATGTGCATGTAGGATGAAGATCATCCAACCAAACTTTAGGATCGCCAGCCAGAACATAGCAAACAAATCAAAGCAATCCTAAAACCAATGCGATCGTCGGTCGGGAATTGAAGAAGACACAGTAGAAGACGACAATTCCCCACGTGTGCTCAACCTAAACCCTCGCCCTGAATACCTACCGAGTCGAACAGAGCCAAGACAAACCAACCCGCCTTCTATTTTTCTTCCATCCTCCCGATCATCCGATCATCCGATCACCCAGAATTATTCCCCGTACCAGCAAAACCACGAACCATTGAGAGAAATAAGCGAGAGGGAAATGCGGAGTTTGTTCCAAAAAAACAGGCGCCGATCCGCGAGTAAATCCACGGTAGTGTTAGCGCCCCCCGGCGCCCCCAGAGTCCCAGACACCCAGACAATTGAGTTCGGCGCCATTGTTCACCAGCCTCTAACCACGCTCAGTATTTTACTCCTACTGAGTAGCTCGCTAGTGGAAGGTCTAGAACACCCCCCTACCCCCCTAACCCCCTACCCCCCAAAACCCCCGAAAAACAAAGCCATTGTTCCGACCGACTAGTCAGCCATGGATCAGCGACCACGTTATTCAGATTTACTCAGCAAGAATCGAGCGGCCTGCGACGCGACTGAAGATCATTTTCATTAACACACCCAGTCACTCACTGCGCTCACTCCCGTTATAGCAAAAAGAAAAACAACGGCATGTCCCAACCGACCGACCACCTCCCCAACCAACGATGACCCCATCATCCATGGCCCATCACATAGTTAGTCGCAGTCGCCTCAATCCGGCCCAGCATTGCGATTGCCCCGAACCCGAACCACATCTCGGAAACGGGCGAGGAACGGACGAACGTTAGCCTACACGATCACTAGGCACGAACGAGCCCGGGGCAACAATACTCGAACAAGTCGGCAAACAATGATGTCAGTGGTATCCACTCCCCGGAGACAGGACGTACAGTAGTCTAGACTGCAGTCCGTCACGCAGGGACCAACTTGAACAAAACCCGTTACTGAACTTAGTCGGTTTGTGGAATACGTAGTAGATCTGTTTTGGGGTATGTTGTTCACTAGTCGACTGGCTTCCTGGCCTCACCGCTTGGGATCCCGGCGCATCGCCGGGGGGGGTGGTTGGGGCAACGGATGGGTGGGTGGGGAATTGGATTTGGGGGGTTGGGGCGAAGGAGTTTGGGCATCATTCAATTCTTGCTGATGGTCATGGTGATGATGAGTCGGGTCTTATAGATGAAGGCAAATGAAAAGGAGCTGAACTTCGTGGTGGTTGTCACATGGACAATGCAAACCACCGAACCAAGGAACCAGAGGCAAGGAACAGGATATGATTGTTCATGCGGTGGGAGTTTCGAAATTCAAATCCAAGTTTTGTAAATTGTTTTAGCCATGCTTCATCCATCAGCTTGTAGAAATATAAGATTTCACCCAAAAGAAACACCCCTAATTGTGTTGGCCTACTCCTGCGCTAAAGTGAAACCCAGAACCAGAAGTCCCATCCCTGAAATAAAAGAAAAAATTGTAGTGGCATCTACTCCATGTCTAAATACCAAACTCCGAAGCATGAACTCGAGAAGTAGAATAGAAGAAAGGGTTCGTCTCGTCTTGTCTCGTATAGTGATTCGTCGCGTGATTGTTTGTGTTGCCATGTACAGAAGCATATTGATGTGTTGTAGCATGGTGGAGATCGTAAGGAGGGTAAAGTGGGGTTGTTATACGTGTAAGTGAGGGTCTCCGGGACCGCTCGTCGCTGAAGTCATTGTCGCTGATGATTGAAACGCCCGTAAATCGAATTGTGGTGTGGACGGTGTGTCCTTCAGGTGGAGGCGCGTCGATTAGGGACAAGGATGTTGCTAAGGCGTTTCCACCGCTGCCCTGGCGAGGACATATTGTCCCGCTCCATGCGATCCTTGTCTATACTGGCTTTTGAAGAAGACTGTGTAGATGATCGCGGTCGGGTGACGAAGGCTTCGTGGTCGGCGAGGACATCTTCAAGTCGCACGTCGGAGTCGGAAATGCGAGGGTGGCCATCGCTGGGGTCAAGGATCTCGATGAACCGGGATGGCATGTCGCGCATATTGTGTGTGTATGTGTTTAATTGTAGTGTGAATGGGTAGAAGAGTGTGTTTGGGAGTTTTGTCTTTGGAAGATGATCCAGGGGAAAAAGAATTGCCTCGGTCGTGTTTCGAGAATTGGGAAGGCTTGCTTTTTGACCTCTTTTACTTCGCTCTTAGTCGGCTGGGGGCGGAGGTCGTGTGCGTGGTCACGAGGGACGCGGAGAGAACTTTATTCAAATATGGGGAAAGCGGTCGATCATAGAGGTACGTGCATGCAGATATTGACCAAAAATTCAGATCCTCACGGTCGAGTAAGAAAATGAGTGTGAGAAAAAAAAAAAAGTAGGAGGGCTGGAAAGAAGGTCTGAACGGAGATGGTTTCCGTGTAGCCTCTCCAGGTGGAGAGGAGGGAGGACCCTTAAAAAGAATCGAGGGGTAAAGGATGTCTGAGGATAAAGAGAAACCCCTAGAGAAAAAGCAACGAGACGGGAGATGAGAAAGGCACGGATGTTGCAGTAGTCGAGAATGCCGATTCGTTGGTTACAGTTTCAGCTATGCGCCAGACAGGGATGTCGAAGCAGTATGGTTTTTGCACCGGAGGGGGAGGGGGTTCGGTCAGAAAGATATCTATGTCTGGCGGATAAAGGGCGCGAGGCGCCGCTGACGTCCCGGGAAAAGAATGAATACATTTATATGAATAGGAGTCCTCTACGGTAGGACCCATCAACCCTTGGATGGTATGTCGATTATTCCGCGCTTTTCCCGCCTCCCCAATAGGTCATTGTACCGGGACAAGCGGGGGTTGGTGATCATGGATGGGGATCAACTGTTGGGACTGGTATGGTGGCGCATCAGCCAGAGCAAGGGCAGCGACATCCACTTCCGCCGCGCAAGCATAATAATCTGATGGGTTGGCGGACCCTGTGATTGATGAGGATACGTGAGTATAAGCGGGGAACGTTCTGTGAGAGGAAAAGCGGTTCGTCCGTCATCCTGAAAGGGAGGTGTGTAAAAGGGAGATATTGGTGCTGATTGAAGCCGATGATGCTGATGGATGCGTGGGATGGAAGGGGGTTGGTCCGTTGCCTTGGGCCACAGTGAGTGCCCCTCCTTCGGGATGTGCAAAGGTTCAAGCACGGCGAGTAAAGAACAAAGAGAGAAGGAAAAGAAGAATGATCGTCATCGGGTGACCGACTGTCAGGTGTAGAGAAGAAAAAGTGCAGGTATAAATCATGGGATTGTGAGGAGGACTCCACCCACCGGTTCTTCCCGCCCGTCCCGAATGGCCATAAACGCAAGTGTACTCCGTAGTTCTCGAGGCAACAACTTATCCTCACCCGCTGACTGACTGACTCACTCACTCTCATCAGAATAGGACATGACGTTGTCAATCTGTGGCTGCAATTTTCATTGATGAACTGTGGCTTGACTGGGGCTGGCGATCATAGATAATCCACGCACACCGTAGAGTGGGAGACGTGTCCCAACTCCATTATTTCCCTTCGCATTCAACCAGTGTCCAACCAATGCCCAGCGCGGGGGCAACTTTCAGATCAGCAGATTGCAGGTGTACTGCCTCGAAACGGCTCATCGCGCAACGTAAGAGCTTCGCAAGCTCTTGGACAGATCACGGGGGCTATTCTTAGCAACGGATTGACGTCGAGTCATAAGTAGGTAGGTGGAATGTTGAATGAAAAAGGAAGCTTGTTGCCATCAAGGGAAAAGAAAAAAGGTTAGTGGTACAGAAGATAGATTGGATTGAGGTCAACAACAACCGTTCAACCCGTCGAAGTTCTCCTCTCGCGGCATGTGCTACCTGTGACGTCATGGCTCCTAGTTACTTACTTTCCTTCCTCCCCCATTTCCTCCCTCACGATCTCTATTAGGTACAGCACCTAGTAGCTATCGAACATCCGTCATTCTTTTATGATGTTCCACCAGTAAGCGACATGCCGAACAAGCGCGTCAAAACAAATACCCGGTCGTCACAGAAGCTACCTTCTCCGCCTCGATCCGAACAGGATGCTGCAGTCGCAGATGACGCCCATGGCGTGGCAGACCCTGCGTCAGGCGGCGGGGGAGCCACAGAACGTCAGACTAGAGACCATGACTCAGTGACGTCGGACGTTGCGGATGAAGACGAGATGCCCGAGGAGACAGGGAGCACTGACAAACAGCTGGCCATGCATGAGGCGGGATACGCAGGCGGAAGCGGAGCAGGCTACAACGCGCTCAAGTCGTTCAACGGCCACGTGTATTCCGGGATGGTGGTTGGGGGCTCGCATACCTGGAAGTACGACGAGGGAACGTGGAAGGAGACGAAAAAGGAGCCGGACCTCTGGCGCATCGACTACCACACGAACAAGCGACGTGCAAAAAGAGCGCCGGAGGGAAGCGGTGCACCGGTGGGGACGGAGTATCACTGGTTGATCATCGGACATCAGGTATGCCTGTGAGAGGGCTCCTTGTGTTTGGGGCGTGTAGAAGATCAGCAGTGGCATTGCTTACCCTGAGCAGCACGTCAAGAAAGTCGATGCGAAGACCTACGAGACCCATCTGACCGGCTCCAAGTACAAGCTCGCGTATAAGTCGGCCTCATCGAACTCGTGGTCTGTTCCGACCGTGAAGAAGCAGCGGGAGAGAGAGGTCGAGCTGCTGGAGGATGCGAAGCAGCGCGTCCAGGGACTGCCTCCGGTGCTGGCGTCGGAGAAAGTCAAGGTTGAGAAGCATGAGAAGGGGCAAACGAAGCTCGACGCTATGTTCGGCAGGGCGGGGACCAAGCGAAAGGCGTCTCAGGATCCTCACCAGGGAGATGAATGAGAAAGTATGCGATTTGTTAACTAACTGTGGTTGGCCATCATGGATGCTGAATCAAAATGTACACGGGATGAAGATCACCTTTTACGCCCCCGTGCATCATGAATGGAGGCAATAAAAAATTACTCCCTACATGCAGATGAACTGAGTATCCCGCTCAGATACTACTCAATATTTTTGATACGGGCTCATGCATTATGACTATTGTATATACTCTCGTAGCATGCTGGCGGGTACGATGTTCAGCAACTCTATTGCTAACTCAGGCGCATTTCTGCGCATACACCTCCAGCCGGGAACTGCCTACATGCGTATAACGCAAGAGGACTCAACGCCTTCCTACAGAGTAGTATCATTATAAGTAATATGCGATCATCTGCCACTTGACCTTCTCAAGCTGCAAGGGTGAACTGTTTGCAGATCCTCTCCCGCATCACGCAGGATCGTCAAACCAATCTGCTACGGAGTACTCGGTAGAATCAATCGCTTCAACATGCTATGAGAATGAACGTGATGTTGAAAGAGAACGAGGCAGAAGAGAACATACCCAGAAAAGAAAGCTACTCCATATACTTCAACGCAGAAAAAGAGTGTACAGTCTAGACCCGCGCAGTTCCTTACTAGAGACGATTCGGATCGATCCGATCCACAATAGCTGGAAACAATGACATCACTCACCTACACGATTCTTTCTTCGCGCCTTCGCGCCTCGAGCTTCGAGCTCAATCTTCTAGTTCTTCACCTTTCTGTACAGCTATAGTCGGACGCAACTCAATTGACGAAGCGGAGTTCCCATTGCGAGTTTTACAATGTCTAAACGAATCAATTCCTTCTTCCAACCCATCCCGTCGAAGAAGCCCAAACCCGACCCGGAAGCTACTTCACCGTCCTCGCCATCTCCAACCCCCGTCGTGAGCACGCACCACTCAAACTACCCCATGCCCATTCGCAACCTCCCCTCGCATATCTTCAAGCCGATCGCCAATCTTGAGCGCGTCCGGCCCCCGCAAGCCATCAACAACCAGCCGCACCTCGACCTGCTGTATTTCCAGCCGTTCATCCCGTCGCCGATCGCGCGCGATCTGTTCAAGTTCCTCCGGAATGAGCTCCCCTTCTATCGCGTGCAGTACACCATCCGCCGCGGCCCAGCGGAGACACTCATCAACACGCCGCGTTACACGACCGTCTTCGGCGTGGACGAGACAAGCATTTTCATCCCGGGTTCGCAGGATATCGCGACGACCAATCCGAAGCCTCCGAAGCCTATTGGCGACGGCAACGCCTCGTCCGAGTCGACTCAAACCCAGACTTCCACACTCACCCTCGTAGAGTCCCGCACCCGCGCCCCGCCAACCACTCTCAAAGACAAAGCCAAGTACAACCATCCCCCGCGGCCCATCCCGCCGTGTCTCGATGTCCTCCGCCAGGCCGTCGAGGCTGCCACCGCCGACGGAACACATTACAACTTCTGCCTGGTGAACTACTACGCCACGGGCGATGACAGCATCTCATACCACTCGGACGATGAGCGGTTCCTGGGGCCGAACCCCACGATCGCGTCCATCTCGCTCGGTGGGCAGCGGGACTTCATGCTCAAGCATAAACCCGTGGCCGGGAGCGATGTTGACGCAGGGAAGCCGCTCAAATTCCCACTCAACTCCGGGGACATGATCGTCATGAGGGGCGAGACACAGGCCAACTGGTTGCATAGTATTCCGAAGCGGAAGGGGGCGCAGGGGAACCAGGGGAGAATCAATATCACGTTTCGGAAGGCGGTGGTACCGGGTGGTACAAATAATTATTATAGGTATAATGTGGGCGACGGGGCGGTTTATCGATGGGATGATTTGAGCAAACGGATGGTTGCTGTCAAGAAAGAGAAAGAAACGGAAGGAGAAAAAGAGTCGCAAACGGTAAACGAAGTAAAGGTTAAGGAATGAGGCGAGGCGACGGAGGTACCCCGTACCTGGCTGGCAATACTTGCACAATATTAGGACCGCAAGAATGGGTTCTTGTAGTTCCGGAACTGTTCCAGTGATACTGCGCCTTCGAGAATATGCTGTAGGAGGGTTCCGTAATCCCATCCGATAGCAGCGGCAGCGAGGGCACAGAGACTGGCTTGATCTTCACGGCCAGGACGGCCAGGACCAGTCATGTTCTAGACCACACAGATTAACCTTTTGGCCCTGGGAGAGTAGATAAGAAAGACATACAGGCTTCATGTTGATATCGAAAATGGCGAATTCGGATCCCTCGCGGAACCTTCTGATATCGATACGTAGGGGTGCGGTGGCCCCGATCAACTTCGCAATCTGCTCGCATTGCCGCATCACAGAACCATAAGATGCGTCCTTCATCTCGTCTGCAGACACTGTGCGCGAATTGACAGTAACAGCCACCGCGCCACTGTAAGGCGCCACCCCGTCTACATGATTGAATCGCGTGACCGGCGGGAGACTCCAGTGCGAATCATGACCCGCAGACGGCGGCATGACCGTAACAGTCGCCTCCTCGCCGGTGAGGAATTCCTCGATCAGCACCACGGGGGATTCTTGCACCAATGTGTTGACATGGGCCTCAAGCTCTGCACGATCGCGACAAAGCTTCACGCCGTGGCTACCGCGGCCACGAACGGGTTTACCGATGACTGGATAGCGGGGGATCGAGTCCAGAATGGAGGATGTGTTGTCCGTTGCGCGGATAAGCCAGGACTGCGGGAGAGTGAAGGAGCCGTGCTTGCGGAGCTGCTCGTTCAGATAGGCTTTGTCGTCAAAGTCCTCCACTAGCGTCGGGGGTTGTCCGACGACATAAAGAGGGTCGTTGGAAGTCAGTGATTTCGACACCTGCAGCGGATGCGAAGAGAACAAGACCGTATTGGCCCAGAGGTGGGTAGCACCTTGTTGGACGGCGGAGAGGATGCCCTCTTCGGTGTCGGGGAAGCACCAGCCTTCCTGCATTGAAGGGTTCGGAGATACTGTGGGGGTGAGGACGCGTACACCATGCTTACGAAGCATGTGAGCAATGTCTGCGCCTGAGTCTTGGTAGCCTGCAACAAACTGTCAGTTTCAATTTTTGAAAAGTGAGCGGAAGGGTTACTCTACCACCAGGCTTCCGAGGCTTGCGGGCACCGTTGATAACAGGTGGCTCGAGGGCTTGATAGAGTACTGCGACCGTGGGATGACCACGAGCTAGATTGTGACTCAGTCGCGCGGACTGCTGTTTGCATAGACTCATCATGGCGACGATATGTGGCTTTTGTTGGTCAGTGCCGAGGCAGATGAGCTCATGATATAGCATCTGGAGCTATCCGAAAGTGCCGAAATCGGCACTTTCGGTCTGACCCGATGTAGATTGATGATATCATTTGATCTGATTTGCAATCATGTTGTGCTGACAATATATGCACCTGAGGAGTATCGCCTGAAAGAGAACATATTGATAGCACCAGAAAGACGCCAAAATGGTATTCTTGGAGTTCCAACAATCGAGGTGACTGCAGGGACTGGCACACAGCAGCGGAGAGGCACGGCAGAAAGTGTGGGTTGCTCCGGGATGCTATGGGCGGCAGGTACGTAAAATGGTGGCAGAAAACCACACCGCCTAAAAGCCGTACTTTTTTCACTTGTGAATCTCGGAGCTTCTAATGGAATGCTCTTGTATTTTATCGGAAGGAGGATACAGAGGGGTTTAATTGTTCTTTCCAACTTGGTGATTGGAGTGAATGCTTAGTGGATTTTATGACTGTGATTCATATGAATCAAGTACTATCCTTGTAGCACACACCCTTACAACCTCGGTCTCCAGCCGTCCTCGATCTACTTCTGGCTCTGTTCCCTTAACAGCCTCTTCAAGATCTTCCCACTCGCATTCTTGGGTATCGCGTCCACAAATCTGACTCCTCCCGTCAAAGCCTTGTAGCTCGCCAGTCTCTGCGCGAGATAACTCTTCACAATTTCCTCTGTGAGCCGATCTCCATCCCCTGGTCGTCGCACTACATACGCTTGGGGCAACTCCGTCCCTGGGACCAGATGCCTGATACCAATGACAGCCGCATCAACAATGAGCGGATGTGATATCAGCACAGCTTCTAGCTCCAGCGGAGCTACCTGGAACCCACGGACCTTGATCAACTCTTTCTCTCGATCCACGATGTACCATTTCTCTGTCCCCGCTTCACAGTATCCGATGTCACCAGTGTGAAACCATCCGTCTTCATCGAAGGATGCTTTGTTCGCGACGGAGTTGTTGAAGTATCCTGGTGTTACAGTTGGACCGCGGACACATATCTCGCCGCGAACGTTGTATGCAGAGATGTTGTTTCCCGCGTGGTCTATCAACCTGTTTATGCACAAGTGAGCCATGGCGTCCCATAAATGAAAGAGGCGACTCGAGAAGGTCAGAAAATGCCTACTTAGCTTCCAGGTTCGGAATCAGGCGACCCACAGATCCTGTGTAATCCTGCTCTGGGTACGGGAGCGTGGTTGCGATACAACTTGTCTCCGTCATTCCCCAGACTTGCGTGCAAGGTGCCCCCTCACCCAGCAACGCTTGGAGCCGCCTCTGTGTTCCTTGGTCAATGGGCGCAGCGCCGATCGAACTCGTCCGGATAGACCTTAAGTACCTCCGCTTGTAGGACAAAGGACTCATGATGATGGCGATGACAACGGGCGGAACAACCGCCAAGTCGGTCACATGGTACTTCTCCACAGTTTCCAGCAAGAGTAAGAGATCGAAACGCCTCATGATGTAGTTGGTGTGACCGGCCTTGAGGCTGCCAAAATGGGTGGAAGGTACGGCAGCAGCGTGGAAGAGAGGGGTGGGCACAACGCGGGAAACCTATTTCAAATATGCTTATGTTACTTTGGAACCGCGTTTGTTGTAGTACAGGACAAGGCCAACTACCCAATATGGTCGACGATGCAACTCGAACACGAGCTCATGTTGCGCAATCAGATTTGTGTGAGTGATTTCAGTGGCCTTGGGCAGACCTGTTGTTCCGCTGCTGAATAGCCGAACAGCTGTAGTCTGAGCCGCTATGGACCCATCGTGAATACGCTCCCAGTCCTTTTCGCCATGCTCAAACAGATCGGTCCAGGATACGGTCCCCTCGGGAATTGTTTCTCTCCTGGCGTTGAAGATGCGCACGTGTGATAAGGAAATGTTCAGATCACGCGCAGCTGTTCGGATAGGACCGAAGAGCTCAGACTCGGTGATAATAAAGCGAACCTGCGCGGTGTTTAAATGGTGCCTGAGCTCCAAAAGTGTATAAGCCGGGTTAGAGCCTGTGAAGATACCTCCGATGCCGACAATGGCGAGGACGAGCATAGGGTAGTAAATCTAGTGGAGTCTCAGCCATGCTCAAGTGGTGTGCAGTGCGCAAGCAATGGTTTCTGTACATCATTGAAGGAATGAATGTTGACGCAGTCTCCCTTCCGCACGCCCCAGGCATGAAGACCAGCAATTAATTGACGGACGATGCGACGGGCCTGGTCGTGGCAAATGGATCGAGAGGGTTCATGGGCATCCACATAGATCTGCCAAGATTAGATCCGGACGAAGAGTAGAATGATAGGTGGTACTCTTACTGGGACAGTTCTGTCATAACTGGGATCCGAGAAAGTGTAAGAGAGGACATCAGTAGGGGGCACGGGGGCCCTCGATGGAGGTTCAAAGATCATGGTCGATGGCAAGGCCGACAGAGCATCGAGAGCAGAAGGTTTCTCAAGGGAATGAAGTCTCGTATGAATTATCCGAGGTCGCATTCATAGAGCTATGAGATTTGAGGACAATAGCCCCTTTCCCAGCTCCCTTGCCGAATGGCAATGTTTAAAGAGACCGGAGACATTCACCGTTCAAGAGATGTCATCCATAGACAGGACCAGGGCTCATTGCAATTCCTTGGATAGTACCCAATCGCACCGGGTTATGCCAAATAAGATTACTTTTTGACCCGCTCTCCTGCATCCAGCCAGACTATTGACTTGTTCCATGTTATCAGCCATGCGATTGCATTAATGACATATGCGGCCAGCGCCCATCACCGATCAAAGCCGGACCTCGAACCGAGGATGCGTTCCGAGATCTCCGTACCGCCACATATCGTAGCACATCAAAGGCTAACGAATAAATGTCCTAGCTCGCTGAATATGTCACCGGTCTAACGAGCATTCATGTGGTCTTGAATAGCGACCGCGGGATAACGCTGGGTGGTGTCTTCGTTGCAGCGTACCATTGGGCCCAGTTCTGTTTAGTATGTGCCACAAGATCCCAAGAAGACCCATGCTGAATACTCCGTGCCTTTTGTAAGTGTCTTTCAATGGGTCTGAGCTTGTGATGACCAGTGGTCCACGAGCATAGCGACAAAAACACATCCAGGAGCCAAAATGTTGTGTCGTATGCTCTTGACAGCGTGGTCGGGTCTTGCGCAGAAAGTGACAGGTCCAATCAAAACCAGCATAAAACTCGGGATGAGATACAATCGTTGGGTAGCCGAAGGTTGCTGACTTCGGTGGGTATAGTCTATAGTCGTGAGATCAGATGCAGATGGCCATTTGTGATCGGGGCAAGCTGCAACTTCATCGCAGAGTCTGGACGTGAGGAAATATAGTACATGTCCATCCTAGTCAATTTCGATGATGAGCACTCTGTCATCGAGCCTTCCTTGAGCCAAGGCTTGTGCGTGTATTCTGGCGCAGAGACTATTCCTCTTCGCCAGTAGGGTGGAAGGATTCTGTGTTCAACAACAAGGATGTACAACGAACGAACAGGCAGCATCTGCTAATATTGTGGGAAGTGGCGTGTAGAAGGTTGAGGCAGTCAAGTACAACAGTCCAGCACGAGACTGATGATAATGGAGCTTGGTATGGCCTGCGCTGCTTCAGAGGCGACCATGGGTCAAGCCAGAATGACCGACGCTTCAAGTTTGAGCTCATAATGAATATTCTGCACCCAGGCTGCACTCAGGACATTGGACCCTACTAGCCACAAACACCGAGATTCGCTATCTTACCTCTAATTAGCTTGCAGAGGACTTCGAAATATCATACTCTTGCCAAGTGACTGCAGGATTGTTGGATGCTTCGCCAGGGGGACTAGGTTGCTGGTCGGGCCAAAGACACTTTTCGCCGCCCCTTCCACAGCTTGACCTCTCCTGACCGGAACCACATAAAGCTCCTCAAGAGTCTGAATACAAGTGTTCAAATCAGGAAAGAGTTAGGAGAAGCCCTTTGAATCTTGATTGTATAGTAAATGTCTGGCTGGTTGCAAGTGCCGACAATCATTCCGCAGTCGGGGGGGGGGGGGGGGGCAGCTTATTGTTGCGGCGGGTAAGTAAGTCAGCTCAGCTCACTGTAAGAGTAGCCTTCAAGGAGGTTCTATCTCTCCTCTCCCATTTCGGTAGGAGAAGCTCATTTCCAGTTGGGCTCCACCAGGCTCCAGGCTGCTCATCATTTCCTCTCCTCTCCTCTCCTCCCTTCTCATCTCATCTCACCCACGCGGAGCACAGCAACCCATCTTTTGCACAATCGGGGTCCGTGGATCGGAGTCACTATCTGTCAATAATCAGTGTCATTTCAATTGTTCACCAATTATTTGCAGTTACCAGATAACGATCAGCTCGCTACCAAGGTGGTGTGCTGTGACTTCTCCTCGACTTTTTGTCGCCAAGGTCGACAGATGTCACCCAAGGCTTTGGATGAGCACCATTCTTCCCTTCACTGTATAATGAGAAGGCAGATGATTACGCCAGCTGAAGCCGAAATGTGGCCACTTAGACTTGGCAGTCTCGCTGGTAGGTGAGACAGACAAGGGTCTTCAAGGTGGCATAAGAACTCTATTGTACTTCTCATCTGACGGTCTGTGCCGCAGGGTCCGCCGGACTACTCATGCCCAGGCCCACGTTGTGCCTTGAACGGCAAAGAAAACAGCAGCAGCCTGTTTCCTCTACCTGCCAATGGACACTAAATCTTGGCTTTCTCCTCATTGACTTTGATCGACTTGCTGCTCAGGAGGATCAACAGACTGAGAACCAAGCTCCCGATGCCACCAGTATTACCCGGTCTGTCTCCCGAGGGGAGTGAGAAATGCTGGGTATTCACTTGAGACATGCGGACGTGCAGCCGTGGCTTTATCGCTTCTGGTATTGCTCAATCGAGTGCGCGGCATTGGTCAGATCAAGCCCTTCTATCTACAAAGTCCTTCAATCAAGGTCGTTATCGAGGCTATGAGGCCGCTTAAAGACGGCCTGAGAACTGAGCTGGTCGCCGATGGCTTACCCCTACGCGCACCTTAGATCAACTACGAGTGGTGCTCATGCAGAGTAAGCGTTATGAGGCATCTCTGGCCGCGACCTATCCACCCGAACGAAACAATTTCGGCTTGACCCCCACCAGACAGATCGAGCACTAAATTGACGAATTTATGGCAATTTAGTTACTCCTCTTGGAAATGTGATGCTCTCTTCTACATTGGGAAGAAGGACCGCCTACCTGGCACCAAGTGGTCCTGGCGCCTATTTCTCGAAGCGCCACCAACACTGACGCTGGCGCTGGCCATGCACTTGGACAACACTACGGCAGTAATATTTCAGCCGGTGGGGCATGTTAAGGACTATATTCACAGTCTAGACACCTACGGGATCCCTTGGTGTAATGCGACACAAAAAAAAAAAAAAAAAAAAAAAAAAAAAAAAAAAACAATATGAGGCAACTAGTACCTGGGGGTAAGCTTTCCGGCATTGAACGGAAAAGTCTGCTTCACTTCGCGGATTTTAATTAGCCTCCGTTCCATCTCCAGGCACATACCAGTGTGCAGCCTCGACGTTCTCCCGTACAACTCTTCATTCCGGTGCGTGCAACCGCTCGGCAAAAGCAAAGAAAAAAGTGAAAAAATGAAAAAGAAAAGAGGGTGGCTTGAAGGCTATCCCGAACCAATAAGAGGTGTATAATGATTGTTGTGTTTTCTGGAGCTCAAACCCCCTCGTCTTTGCCTAGACCTGCCCCTCCAAAAGTGATTATCGCGGATTCGGAATGTGAAAGTCCGCGGGCACTCCACCAAGGCGCGGTCAATGTTGGAATCTAGACAACAAAGTCCTTGGCTAATTCTAGTCCATGCCTCCTATTGGGTAACTCACGGACTTAATCAACTTCGATGGTCTAATGGAATATGCTCGATTCTGATGAAGAATATCGACAGAAACATGCATTGCCTCAGTCCCGGAATTGCCGAGCAAAGCAGTATCGAGTTGCATCTACTGAGTATCATTGCGGTGGAGCCGTCGAGGATGACATTCGAATTTGTTTCAGGCCGCAGTGAGTAGTATCCAAGCCACGAAACCCCCAGTCTAGCGTATGATTAGGGAGACGCCATAATCACATCTGATTTGGGCCATGACGGGTAGCTTTTCCTATTGTCTTCCTACTGGATGGTTTTCTAACACCCCTTGGATTCGGTATAATGGCCAGCAATTTCAGCCGAGTGACAATTAGGTGGATAGTATTCAAGTTTCAAGCCATGGCCATGACGTTGATTGTTGGCCTTACTTGGCGGATTGTCGCAGAATGTTTGCTACCGATCTCGGCACTTAAGAAGAATGAACACCAGACCAACGTATTCGGGTTGGGCTGTCTGGCTAACCTGCACAGGATATTCTTCAATGACTCTTTCAGGTATAGACCAAAGCCTGAATTCATTTGGCGCTAGAAAGCATGCAGACCTCGGAGTGCACCGCAGACAAAATCCGTCTCTTCAGCTCAGCACTGATACTCATTGATGGGATAAACTGATCCATTCTGCTTTTAGCTCTCTTGCAGTTGCAAGTGAGTGCGGGGGGTCTGCGCGTGCGGACTTATTCTAACTTTAACATGCTTCAGCACATACACTAGTCCATAGCCTTGCTGTAGACTCGCTGCTGCTGGAGGTATCCACTAACTGCAATGCAGGTTGGATCCAGCACTACTCCTGTGGCCGGCCGAAACTACTTCGGAAGGCTTTGTCGGACATGATCATCGACAAATGCGGAGGCATTGTTCCCCACCGAGCAAAAGGTGGGTTCTCCATGTTAGAAGGACCGCTTTCACATCCCAAAAGTACCGGTATATGATCTGAATGAAACGCAGGGGTGAGCCGAAGTACACGTACAGCACCTCATTGGGTAAATCCTGAGCCAGCCATAGTCCGCGGAGCTCACAGATCCAGTTTGACTGAGCTCGACTTCCATTAAATTCTACATCTTGATTGCCGGACATTCTCTGGCTGTTGGAAGATAATTGTGCCAGGTGTCGGATTTCCATGGAAGAGGAAACGCCTGGCTATTCGAGTCAGTTCGATATCACCAAGGCCGGCCATGCGACAACGCAGTATGACAATACCGGATGGCATGACTTATAGACGGTTTCGGCCCCTAACCGTGAATAGATGCAAGGTATCTAATCCGCATTGAGCCTGAAGATCGACGTCGCGTGGGTAAACGTTGATTTCTGATTCTCTCGCGTGGATGCAAGTGCTGAGGTAAGATGTTATCCTTTAGTCGGTTAACGCCGTACTTTGGTGGCTGCGGGCTCTGGATCTCGGAAACCTATAATTGGGGATTTAGCAAGACCACTAAGCCAGCAATGGCAGGTGAGAGAATTAACCTTGAAATCTCGCAAGGCAGCCGCCGATCCTCCAGGCTGGCCATCCA